ATTGGCCACGTCCGATTTATCGTAAAGCAGCTCACCGCTCAGAGGAGCAGATACTAAGTTTTGGGGGCATCCTTGCTTCGGTCGAATAACATAGGCAAACAGGCATCGGTTATTGGTTAGCACTCACGATCTCAAACACACATACTTTGGTACATAGAAACATTTGCCTTTACACACGTTAGATACTTCAATAAATACAGACACCAAACAGCCCCCTCTCTCTCTCTCTCTCTCTCTCTCTCTCTCTCTCTCTCTCTCTCTCTCTCTCTCTCTCTCTCTCTCTCTTTTCTCTCTCCCTCCCCCCCCCCCCCCACTTTTTAGTTGATTGGCCACCTTTGCCTGTCTGTGTAACACTGAAATTCACATTGTTATATAATTTCATTTCTACTAAATGTTTAAATCGTTGTTAGCGTAGTTGTAAGCATTTCGCCTTTCACGAGGATGATAGGCGTTCGATTTCCCGCTGAGTGATATAATTTTTTTTTTTTTTTTGGGGGGGGGGGGGGGGGGACTCTAACTAGGTGGAAACCACATTTTGTTGTGGTTTATAGCTAGGCTGCAATATCTACGTCTTTTTTCGCTCGATTTTGGGGTTTACAGCTAGCCTACGATAGCGGCGACGTGATGCTCAATGTTCATGTCATGGGCAATATTTGTTTCCCCTTGAGAGGGCAGTTTGCACGTTGTGTTGTGGTTTACAGCTAGGCTGTAATATCGAACCTAATGTCTTCAGTCTTTGGTAGTAGAGTTGTAAGTAATCCGCCCTTCACATGGATGATTGGTGTTCGATTCCCCGCTGGGTGCTAATTTTTCTTTTTTCCCTAAAGGGGCGGTTGACACGCTGTGTTGTGGTTTACAGCTAGGTAAAGATATCTGAGCCTTACGTCCAAAGACATCCGATTTCAGTAAAGTCCAAATTAGCCTCCTCCCGACACTTCACTCGATCAAAAACTATTCGTTAATGACAGAAACTGTTAACTAAGAAGGCTTACGATCCAGTTTGGTTTGGGTCGACACGGATGCCAAGGTTAATTAAAAATCGTCCTTTCAGAGAGGGAGAGATAACGGATGCGGGTTTTTATTCCCGCTAATTTTGAGTATAGTGTACTTTTTTTCCATAACGGAATATTACTGTGGGTTCTACCACTGGTTTGGTGATGGAGTTTTATGTCGGGGGCACATTCAAACTAAACAGTCCATGACGATAGCATGCGGCGCCAACTTCTCTGGCTACTACGACCTGCACAGACGGTAGTGACCGTTTTGTATTGTTGCTGTTGTTTTGACGGTAGTGGTGGTAGTGGTAGCAGTAGTACTGGTACTCGATGGGTTATGTGGTAGCTGTTACACTGGCCACATTTTCTTCTCAGTACAGATTAATGCCACCCATTTTAATCTGAGTGGACACGGATGCCAAGCTCAATTTAACAACAATATTTCGTCAGGCGATGACTTTCCTATACTTCGTAGAGATGTCACATATCACTCCTGTCGCGTGCCTAATGTAAGGATTCCTCCTTCAGAACCAACAGCACTCAGAGATAATTATGTTGAGTCGTTTGGCTCGTATTGGTCTAAGGGATTCCCCGTGGCCAATATACGATCAACTTATCTCTGGAGTAGGGCAACTCAAGTATTGGCACTACAAAATATATCAGTATATAAATACAATATTTCTAGGCACACTTGGCTGGACACCCCCACTACTTACTAAAGAAAGCCCCCAGGTTATGATAGTTCATTATCATAACCATGTTAACACATATAATGAAGATACATACATACACAACTGCTAAACACTTAAAAAGGTGAAATAGAGACACCTAAGTCAGCCATGAAAATGAATGCATGTAATCAATATAAAATAGATATATAAAAGTGAGACAATTGCCAGATCTCCTAGGCTAGATCTCAGGATATCCTGTCCAAATCACAAAGATACTACACAGACGGAAGGTCTTGGAGATGACATCTTGTCATCATTGGACAACCTAGGAGCTGTGAAGAATAAAGCACATAAGGCATCAAACTGCACTTAGCCTCTTTCTGTCTATGATGCCTCCCTCAGCTCCTGATGATTCGACTGTCTTTGACTCTGGTAATTCTGCTCAACTGGATCAGGTAGTGAAAGAGTACTTCACCATATAGGACACAGCAACTGTACCGGTATTTAGCAAGTCTCCATCACCAGTAAGGACACACAATGTCTTTGAGCCACACTAAGCTCTAGCACTGGTAGCTGTTTGAGGTACCATCTCCCACATGTTGGAGATGTCAGGAACCTTCACAGGTGTTAGCTGGTGGGTAACAGTTTGTTTCTGGTGGTTTGATGGTTGGTGGATGTTGGTTGGACTGTGAATCTTCTGCCAGCTCTTCAGAAAAGATACATCCTGTCAAGAAAATAACTCAACATTAGTCATCACCAAGAGGGTAACATCTTGACAGGAAAGACAGAGCAAGCATCAGTCATCAACCCCCATCTGCTGACTCCTCCCTGCTCTCCTGTTTCATTCCTTAGATTGCCTCTCCAGACCAAAAGACATAAGTCTCCTATATTTATCTGTCTGTTTAGTGCAAGAGAAGGCAAGTCAGATATACAGTAGAGATAGATACAGTGGTCTAACACATATATCACTCTCCCTCTCCCCCTCACTCTGCACACAGACACCAATATTTACTGTCAGTACCTGCATTCACTAGCTTTCCCAACCGCCCCAGCACTCATTGATCTGGGTCAAGCACACACATACTTTGATTAACAAAGCCCTGACCCAATTCTGTCCCCATTTTGTATGTACAGATTCTTTAGTTAGTTTAAAACGTACACAATTGTAAGGGTATTAAGTTTTATCAGTATGGGTGGTTTATTGAGGGCATAAGCTATTTAGTCTGTACAGTGGAAGATCTACGTTCGAATCCGCTTCTCTAGCGATCAAGAACGGTCGAACTAAGTGGGATCACACAGCCGATACTGATTTCTCTACAGCAGTGACTACTTTACAGACATCATTCTAGGTACTCGTAAACTATAATTAACTTACCCAAGCATATGTAAAAACTGAGACATTCCAGATTGCCTTGAAAAGTGAAATTTATACAGGCACAGATTAACACATCTGGACGCTTGAGAAGCTGGCAAGGAGAATAGCGTCACTTAGACACTTCAGGCGTTGGTAACAAAAGAAGTCCCTTGTATACTTGGGCAAGGAGTAAATCGTTTTCCACGAAACCTCAAATAACTCCCTTAATATATCTCCAAGAGATATACATTTAAAAGTGGAGTTTAGTTAAAGTAACCAGAAAAGGCAGACATAATAATGTTGTCCAATACAGGCCTATATATATAGATATAAGGGACTATATATTTCTGGGCGAGTCCAAGTTTGAATTTTGTGCAGATTACAGGTAAGACAGGTTATCAGCCTTACAGACCGATGCGTAATGGCTATCATTTCACGACAAGAGAGGATGATATAATTGTCACGGAAAGAGGGGGGGGGGGGGGGTGTTGAGGGGAGTTGATTCCAGACACTGTTAACTGAGAGAGTTTAAAACATTTTTTTTAAATTCTAATTTCTTAACTATTTTTTTAAACAACGTCGCCACGCGATAATTGTAATATCCCCTCATTCTGAGAGGGAGATACGTTTCGGGAAGGAGGGGGGGGGGGGGGGGGGTGTTAGCTCAGAGAGCTTTTATCTTTATTTTAAAGTTCTCATTTCCTAAAAATTTAAATTTTAATACCGCTTTCTCAGCTATTCTCATTTTTTTTTTTTTTGGCCAGTTTGTTGGTCAGTTAGAGGTATTGCAGTCAGCTTTACTTTTACCTGTTTAAGCACAACAGATGGTTTAGCCTCGATAAACAAATAATTCTTTTTTCTCTCTCTTACAGTGCACTTTATTATATATATATTGTCGTATTGCCATGAACCGTGTTGAAGAAGGCATATCAGGAAGGAAATGAGAGTGAATGAAGAAATTATTATAGAAAAGATGAGAGCCGAGAGTCTGAGAAGAAACGGATTAAACACAAATGTTGACAACAATGGTCCTGAAATCCCATGCTATCATTGTGGAAGACTTTCCTTGACACCGGTGGGTCTTGCTAGTCACACTCGCCATCGCCATAGGCTGTGAGTCCCATGTCTCCTCATAGCGCAATACAACACTATTGTCTAAAAAGACGGAAAGGTGCCAATCATATATATATATATATATATATATATATATATATATATATAATATATATATATATATGGTGTGTGTATGTGTGGATGTGTCTGTGTGTTAGTTTCTATCTCTGTGTGTGTTTCTATCGCTATGTGTGTGTGTCTAGTTTGAGAATGGAGGTGAAGGCAGTCACTGCTGCCTTCCGCTGGCTTAAGAATCAGCTGTACACACTTGCCGTGATTGTAACTGACTCACAGAGCATGTTGAGAAGGGTGAAAACAGACATGCTTCGTGCAGAGTGGCAAGCATCACTTCAGAGGTCCCGGGTAGTTAGCATCCTTTGCATATTTTCTCTAGGCAATGACAGTGTGTTGGAAAATGAGTAGGCAGATAGAATAGCCGACTCTTTACCACTTAGTGATGTATGACAAGCTAGTTATTGTGAGGCCCCTTTGGGAACGAGTGAACAGTGCGGAGGCGAAGATAGATCATTAGGGTCTGAGTCTGAGGATAATGGCGCTGGGAGGAGTTACCAGGAGATCTGGCCGACGCTCAACACTCATGGGAAGGATCAGACGGATATACAATCAGACGGTTACTGGTGCTATAGGAATTGGAACTCTTCGCTTGCTGCTGAGGATGTGGACGGAGCACTTATGGGAGTGTACCGGGTGATGTGATGTCGATTCTTGATTCAAAATCAAGCATCTATTGACACAACTGTCGTGAAGCTACAGGCCGGGGATTCCCCTACTCCACCTGTTTTCGATTTCGTTATTCTGGGAATACATGACAGCATCAAATCTCTTTTATTGTCTCACAGATTCACCATGTCTGCCTTGACAGGTACATTCTCACCTTTCAGATAGCTTTTTTTACTTACAAAACATGGCTGTTGTCGATAAACATTGTGTCAGTAATATTTCTCTAAAAATAAAACTCTACAATTATTTATTTATATCACAACCAAATCATAAGGAAAATGCAAATGTAAAAATTTTTTTTTTAAAAATTATCAGAAACATTCAAATAATCGATAACTCTCGCACTTTTACATTGTTCTTATTGTGAATTGTAATTTTCAGTTACAGGTTTTAGTATTAAACATTAGCACATTTATTACCATTACCTGTTCAACTGACAGTGTTTCCAAACAATGACAGATTCAAATGGCGAATACCTGTGTCTGAACAGATTACCTTCTGAATCCCTTCCATTTCAGATCCTTGGACTTATCTGTACCAGACAGAACGTTTACTTTACCAAACGAATTTTCCCTATAAGAAATGTTAGAAGTACAGGGGGAATGATGAATCTGTTCCCATGAAAAGAAATCCTATTGTTGAAGGCACATTGTTCATACTGTTATAAGTGTTGCCTGCTGAGAGGACTCCAATGCCTATATGAATTTTATGATACGGATAAGACAGGAGGGGGAGGTGTTATGAGCTGCATTATCTTCACAGCACTCCGGACTAGGGCTGTACCGAATATTCGCTTCGTATTCGCTTTGGAGCCAAATTAGTTAGTTAGTTAGTCTTTCCTCTTGTGTCGAGTGCGGCACATAGGGCAGAGGTCATGACTCTCCATGCATGGCGGTTCGTTGCAATCTGTTGTAGGTCTTGGATGTTTGAGTGGCCCATGAGTGAGCCTTCCCTGATGATAGTTCTACGTAGGGTTTCCCTTGGTCTTCCACGAGATCTTTTTCCCTGTGGTGTCCAAATGAGGGCTTGGTAAGGAAGTCTTGATTTATCCATTCTGAGGGCGTGGCCGACATAGTTCCAGCGGCGTTTTCGTATAAAATTAGACACATACTCTTGCCTGGATTCTTGCCTTATTTGTGTATTGTGTATTGGGAGCCGAATAGTGGACCTAATAACTATTCGGTATTCAGCCGAATAGTTGCGGTCGGGCCGAATACGAATAGTGGTTTCTGGATTGGTAGAAAATAAACATATCAAGATTTCCCACTTTGGTTCATACTGTCAAGCGTTATTTTTGTGCACCACCTATGAGCGTACCAAGTGAACGTCTGTTTAGTACAGCTGGAAATACCTTCAGTGAGACAAGAAGCTGCCTTAATCCAGACAACATGGAACGAAAAAGCTAATGCCGCTTTCATGGATTAACTAAGATGTCAGTGACAGTTTACAAGTTTAGTTACTTGTTATTAAACTAAGAATACTTTCATTCCTAGGTATTAGTTACCACAGACTGACTGACTGAAGGATGCAAAACATGAAATGTTTTTAAATGTTCACTATTCTGTACTACATTTTGTGAAATAAAATTTCAGCGTACATTTGACATTAGGGATGTTTTCTTTTAAGATCTATTTTATACACGAAAGTGGAAGAATGGCCTCAGTTTGAATAGTGGGGAGACAGAAGTAATGGTGGAATGGAAGAAAATAATTATTCCTAAATGTGTAATAAAAGTCAATGGTTTTATTTTGGGACAAGTACAGAAATTTAATTATTTGGGCACATGGATAACATCAGATGGAAGATGCATAACTGAAATGAGAAACAGAATAGTACAGGCAAAAACTGCATTTTCTAAAATGAAGAACATCTTATGCAATATTTATCTTTGTCATTGAAGGTTAAAAAAAAAAGAATTTTTGCTTGCTACATACATCCAGTTTTAACATATGGCTGTAAGTCCTGGACAATCGGTAGGCAGGCCAAACAATTCCTTGAGGCCTCAGAGATGTGGTTTTACAGAAAAATGCTTAAAATACCTTGGACAGCCCAAAAAAAAAAAATAAAGCCACCAAGAGGTTTTGAAAGAGGCAGGAGCCAGAAGACAACTTATCACAGACAGCAGGAGACAGTCATCATTTTTCGGCCATGTTATGAGAAGAGGGAAAATGGAAAATGTGACCACTGGAAAGATCTGTGTAAGAAGGGATAGAGGAAGACTACATGAGAAGATTCTTGACAGTCTTGATGCATGGAGGTGTGTCAACAATGCCAGCATGCCATGGGACGAATATGAAGGTAACTGCACACACAGGAGAATTTTGCAATGGCTCAAGCCACTGTCTGCGTAACCAGTCTGCCGTATCATACTTAAAAAATCACTCAGCACACACACTCAGGAATAGTCTTGTGATTCTACCCACATGAAATCATATGTCACCGCTGTCACCTCCATCGTCATGCTGCTGGTAGTCATGGAGAAGGCACCGCTGGCTTCCTGAACTGTTTTGCCTGAAGAGTGAGCTGTAAATGCCCATGCACTCTTATGTCCTTATAGAAAGGACCCGTCTGTGGAGATCAGCCCATCTGTCTCATCTGACTTGTCACTGATAAGCCCGCAGACCTTGGCGTTGACAGCAGTGGGATTCTGATCCCACTAATTCTATCAATGGTCATGACGAAATATAATCTAAATGTATAATTTTGGCTATGAATAAATGTACATATTTATTCATGAATATATACAGAATTTTGGTAATAAAGAAGTGTAGAATTTAGTTAATGAATAACTTTAGATTTTTGTTCAAAATAAATGTAGATTTCTTAAAATTATAAATATTAAAGTTTGTTCATGAAAAAATTTAAATTTTTACCCATAAATAAATGTAAAATTTTGGTCACAAATACAAAGATTTTTGTTCATGAATAAATGTAGATTTTTGTTCATGAATAAATCTAGATTGTTATTTATAAATAATTGAATATTTTTTCATCAATAATTGTATATTTTTTCATGAATAAATGTAGAATTTTGTTAATGAATAAATGTAGATTTTTGTATCCAGAAAAAAATCCATGATATTCTCCTGAAAATAAGCAAAAGTGCATTCTTTAAAGCAAAAATTAAAATGAGGCCTAGTCTTATTTTTGGGGAAACACCGTGTGATGTGTGTACATGGTGTGTGTGTTGCCATCACGGTCTGCCTGAAAGAGAATCGGTGATGGTCACTTGTCAGCTCTCCCGCCTCAAGCACTTTCATACCCTAGGAGCCTCTTTTATCCTGTGCCCATTGTCAAGCTGGTCAACCCCTACTCCCTCCTTCCTGCTACCCTGCTTCTGCTGTTATTTGTTTCTCTCCTGTTCACCCTGACACTGATATGGTCACAGTTTTTCAGCATCTGAGACAAAATGCTGTTTATTAGCCAATCTTCCTTGATGTTCAGAACTTTTAGAATTTCAGTATTTCTGTTTTTTTTTTTTTTTTTTTTGTCCATGATATTCTGAGAATATTTCTACTGCATTTCAGCTGAAACCCATATTTTTCCCCCTTAGAAACTGGGAAATAGTCCCTGACTCACACCCGTATGTTGCAACATGGAAGATATATGCTCTCAAAATTGTAACTTTTCCACGCTGATGCTCAAACATGTACTTTTAATGCTTTGTAATCATATGTGTATATATATATATATGTATAAACCCCTCCCCCAGCCCCCTTTCCCCCAACTGTCTCACACCACTGCCATAAACTGTTTTAATTTCAGTCAGTACAGTTTTTTTTTAAATATATAAACCTAATTAACTTAGCAGAGAGAGAGAGAAGAGGAGGATTTTGAAATCATAATTTATTTCCAAATATTCTATAGATTCAGAAGATGAAGCTGAACAGCGACCATCTTTTGGCACTCCAACAGCGATGGTTGCACCCTTTACCTATAACCCTGGCGAGATGATGAAAGCAGTAGGGAAGCGGCCATATTCATCCATTTCTGCTGCGGGAGATGCCAACGCAAAAGGCGGGACCATGCTGGCCCACAATCCTGCTGAATTTGTCAGACGCAGGGGAGAAGACCCAGTTGAAATGTCTGAGAAAGCTCGTAAAATGATGGTAAAAATTGTGTAACCCCACAGCTTTGTGTGTTTGCAGTTAGATCTTTAGAATCTGAGCTCCCAGTGTTGCTTGTAGTAACCCATTTTTGGGGCAGGGTAGAGAATAGATCTACTGCATCCCAACTAGCCTGTCGTAAGAGTAGACTAATTAGGGGTTTCCTTTGTAATTGGAGTGCCTTTGCCTGAATGGCAAAGAACCAACAGTCTGCGTGCAAAGAATCCAGATCTGTAAAATGGATGTGCATGCAAAACTCAAGTTCTGGAACAATACTAAAGTCCAGAAGTGGACAAACAGCCAGAACTTTCTGCCACAGTTTACAGCCAGTAAAGTCCAGAAGTGGACGAACAGCCAGAACTTTCTGCCACAGTTTACAGCTAGTAAAGTCCAGAAGTGGACGAACAGCCAGAACTTTCTGCCACAGTTTACAGCCAATAAAGTCCAGAAGTGGACGAACAGCCAGAACTTTCTGCCACTGTTTACAGCCATTAAAGTCCAGAAGTGGACAAACAGCCAGAACTTTCTGCCACTGTTTACAGCCATTAAAGTCCAGAAGTGGACGAACAGCCAGAACTTTCTGCCACAGTTTACAGCCATTAAAGTCCAGAAGTGGACGAACAGCCAGAACTTTCTGCCACAGTTTACAGCCGGTAAAGTCCAGAAGTGGACAAACAGCCAGAACTTTCTGCCACTGTTTACAGCCGGTAAAGTCCAGAAGTGGACGAACAGCCAGAACTTTCTGCCACAGTTTACAGCCATTAAAGTCCAGAAGTGGACGAACAGCCAGAACTTTCTGCCACAGTTTACAGCCATTAAAGTCCAGAAGTGGACGAACAGCCAGAACTTTCTGCCACAGTTTACAGCCAGTAAAGTCCAGAAGTAGACGAACAGCCAGAACTTTCTGCCACAGTTTACAGCCGGTAAATGAGAAGCAGAAGAAAATGAACAATAATCTGAGTGAGCTACGTGTGAAGGTGAAAGGATTATTGTTTCTAATTGCAGTGAAAGATGCTAATATTTATGGTGTTGTTGAAGGTGGCTTGTATAGTGGGTGATGTCATTGATGAAGGTGACACATGATCATATATTTTGTAAATAAACATGGTATCTCTATTGATGAAAGAGATATGTAATGGTTTGTTTAGTAAATATTAAGGCACTTGTGTGATAATGATGTTTTTATCATTGCAGGTCAAGATGGGGCACAAAGAGGGAACTGGTCTGGGCAAGCATGGCCAGGGCAGGACACAGATTGTTGAAGCGTCCACGCAGCGAGGACGGCGTGGTCTGGGCATGACTGTGGCAGGGTTAGAACCTTCTAATGTCGAGTGGGACTTCAGCAAAGAAGAGGTCAGTTTGTGTTACTGTCAGAACAGGCTTTGCCCTGTGGTCAGGTCAGTAAGTGTGCAGTTTACCCAGCAAGTCTTGTGTGCTGACTGCTGACAGAACAAACTATTTATGTGGGCCTCTCTAATGTTCTGTTTCTGTTTTGCACCACAATTGATTTCAGTAGAAAATTTAAAAATGAACGTAAAGTAGAACCAGTCAGCTCCACAGTATCACAAACACCAGTGACAAGTGGATGTTGCAGCTAGAGAGCCTTCATCAGCACATGACATAAATCTACAATATTACATAAACAAACAAGAATGGACAAGTTAGACAGGCAGTCCACCATAGCAACCATAAAACAGACTCACAGATCTGATAGTGAAGCCCCTAGACAAGGCAGATAGTCTTCTGTGTATGGATGTGAGTTGTGAACTAGTGAAGCCCCTACACAAGGCAGATGGATGTGAGTTGTGAACTAGTGAAGTCCCTACACAAGGCAGATAATCTTCTATGTATGGATGTGAATTGTGAACTAATTAAGCCCCTACACAAGGCAGATGGATGTGAGTTTTGAACTAGTGAAGCCCCAATACAAGGCAGATAATCTTCTATGTATGGATGTGAGTTGTGAACTAGTGAAGCCCCTACACAAGGTAGATAATCTTCTATGCATGGATGTGAATTGTGAACTAGTGAAGCCCCTACACAAGGTAGATAATCTTCTATGCATGGATGTGAGTTGTGAACTAGTGAAGCCCCTAGACAAGGCAGGTAATCATCTATGTATGGATGTGAGTTGTGAACTAGTGAAGCCCCTAGACAAGGCAGGTAATTATCTATGTATGGATGTGAGTTGTGAACTAGTGAAGCCCCTAGATAAGGCAGATAATCTTCTATGTATGGATGTGAGTTGTGAAGCCCCTACACAAGGCAGATAATCTTCTATGTATGGATGTGAGTTTGGAACTAGTGAAACCCCTAGACAAGGCAGGTAATCTTCTATGTATGGATGTGAGTTGTGGACTAGGTGAAGCCCCTAGATAAGGCTTTCTACAACTTTCTGTGAGTGTCGATCAATACATTGTCTCTTTGTAAATTATGTATATAGACAAGGCAGATTGTCTTCTATGTGTGGTTGTGAGTTGTGAAATACAACAGCTGACAAAGAAGATTAGGGTAGGGCTGTTAAACCGAAATGTAACTTGATGAGTCTAAGAATGTCATGGACTCAGAAAAAGAAAATGCTGCCATTGTTTGGGATCTGAACTGGGGGGGGGGGGGGGTTACTGGCTTAGTTCAGTATCTCTTGTGACTTTAACATCCAGATTGTGCTTAGTGTGTCTATGTTATCTTTGGACATTTCCAGATTATTATAGATGAGGTTATCGAATGGCTGCCTCCATACACTGGTTCTGTTCCATCATTGGAAGAAATGGAGACATGGAAAGTTGTTGGTCCGGTAAGTTATCCAATAGTTTTATTGTTTTCCAATGTATTTAGCAAATTTAGTGTAGTGCTAGAGCTCTTGCCTGCCAGCAGTGGTCTCAGGTTCAATCCACATAAGTAACAGGGTTGTATGGTTCAATCCACAGAAGTAACAGGGTTGTATGGTTCAATCCACAGAAGTAACAGGGTTGTAGGGTTCAATCCACAGAAGTAACAGGGTTGTAGGGTTCAATCCACAGAAGTAACAGGGTTGTGTATCTAAAAAAAAACAATATTTGCATTGCTTGGTGCATGCTTGGGTGGTTATTGGCCGAGGAGGAAAAACTCCTGGCACATTCACCAGCAAGGAAACTAGTAACCGTGGCTGGTTGGCTGAGTGATCCTGTTCAAATAGGATATGATTTACACCCCCACCTCCTTTCTCCTAGATCCAGTCTCAAATGATTCACCTGATGCAGCCTAAAGTGGGCACCAGAGAAGTTGATATAAACTATGATACCTGTTGAATACTAAGCGGTCTAAACAAATGACATAGCACCATTTGTCCTAATTATCCCATTACTTTAAAGGAAGATTTTTTTTTTCCACTTATAAAGTAACCAGATGTTTTTCTCTCACTAAATATTTTTGGTAATGGATCCGTTTTACTTGTTTATTTGTCATATAACATCTCAACTTTTCTTCTGACAGAAAAAAAGGGAAATTGACGATGAAGTTCACTTTTGCTCAAAAGAAAGTCTAGATATGGTATTAAATGGCAAAGTAAGTTGTTATTAGTTCCAAGATTGTAAAATTTGTTCAAAAAGCCTGTATTTTGTTTTTGTCTCTGCAGTTTAATGTTTATTTTTGAATATTAAACAATATGAACATCAAATGACAATAATATTAGAGCATTATAACTTTTGAAGACATCTTACTTTGGCAGATTTCACTTTTGCAGAGAAGTACGCTTGTCATTTCCTGATGGATCTGTTAACCCAGTCTAAGATGGCTGCAGTTAGGATCAGTTGTCACTTTATGAGATCCTTTCATCTTCTCTAGGCTTCGCAAATAACATTCTTTTTTCTTCTGTTGTCTTCCTCTGGCAGTCTTCTTTAGTATTGTCGCCACATTAAAGCTATTGTTCCCCATTCCACTATTATGTTGATTTGCCCCAAACATGTCATTAATCCTTTCCTTATGGTTTTGATGAGTGACCTATTGATTCAGCCGTCTGTACATTATCTTTTACATTCTTCTCTTCCCATGATGCTCTCAACATTCTTCTCAAGTGTACAACACAGCCACCAGCTTACCAAACAATTCAGAATTAATTCTCTAACATTTATTTGTTGATCAGAGCTGGCTACACACAACTTTTTAAATCTGTCAACAAGAGCTGGTTACACACAACTTTTTAAATCTGTCAACAAGAGCTGGCTACACACAACTTTTTAAATCTGTCAACAAGAGCTGGCTACATACAACATTTTAAATCTGTCAACAAGAGCTGGTTACACAACTTTTTAAATCTGTCAACCAGAACTGACTACACATCATCATCATCAGGTGCCTTGCCGACTGGCATGGGTGATCATGCCTCTCCATAATCTGCGATCTCCTGCAGCATGTTTCAGTTCGTATGCCGACACACCTCCATGCCATGCAACAAGACTGTCAAGCCTCTTCTCTCGTTGTCTTCCTCTATCCTTCCTTCCACATATCTTTTCAGTGGTCACAACATGTTCTATTTTCCCTCTTCTCATAACATGGCCGAAAAATATGACTGTCTCCTTCTGATGTCTGTGATAAGTTGTCTTAGGGCTGTAATCTGTCACCAGAGTGTGTTTGATATGATGTGCTATAATCTGTCACCAGAGTGTTTGGTATGCTGTGCTGTAATCTGTCACCAGAGTGTGTTTGATATGCTGTGCTATAATCTGTCACCAGAGTGTGTTTGGTATGCTGTGCTATAATCTGTCACCAGAGTGTGTTTGGTATGCTGTGCTGTAATCTGTCACCAGAGTGTGTTTGATATGCTTTGCTGTAATCTGTATGTTTGATATGCTGTGCTATATTCTGTCACCAGAGTGTGTTTGATATGCTGTGCTGCAATCTGTATGTTTGATATGCTGTGCTGTATTCTGTCACCAGAGTGTGTTTGATATGCTGTGCTGTATTCTGTCACCAGAGTGTGTTTGATATGCTGTGCTGTAATCTGTCACCAGAGTGTGTTTGATATGCTGTGCTGTAATCTGTCACCAGAGTGTGTTTGATATGCTGTGCTGTATTCTGTCACCAGAGTGTGTTTGGTATGCTGTGCTGAAATCTGTCACCAGAGTGTTTGATATGCTGTGCTGTAATCTGTCACCAGAGTGTGTTTGATATTCTGTGCTGTAATCTTTCACCAGAGTGTGTTTCATATGATGTGCTGTAATCTGTGCTGTAATCTGTCACCAGAGTGTGTTTAATATGCTGTGTTGTAATCTGTCACCAGAGTGTGTTTAATATGCTGTGCTGTAATCTGTCACCAGAGTGTGTTTCATATGATGTGCTGTAATCTGTGCTGTAATCTGTCACCAGAGTGTGTTTAATATGCTGTGCTGTAATCTGTCACCAGAGTGTGTTTAATATGCTGTGCTGTAATCTGTCACCAGAGTGTGTTTGATATGCTGTGCTGTAATCTGTCACCAGAGTTTGTTTGATATGCTGTGCTGTAATCTGTCACCAGAGTGTGTTTGATATGCTGTGCTGTAATCTGTCACCAGAGTGTGTTTAATATGCTGTGCTGTAATCTGTCACCAGAGTGTGTTTGATATGCTGTGCTGTAATCTGTCACCAGAGTGTGTTTAATATGCTGTGCTGTATTCTGTCACCAGAGTGTGTTTAATATGCTGTGCTGTAATCTGTCACCAGAGTGTGTTTAATATGCTGTGCTGTAATCTGTCACCAGAGTGTGTTTAATATGCTGTGCTGTAATCTGTCACCAGAGTGTGTTTAATATGCTGTGCTGTAATCTGTCACCAAAGTGTGTTTGATATGCTGTGCTGTAATCTGTCACCAGAGTGTGTTTGATATGCTGTGCTGTAATCTGTCACCAGAGTGTGTTTAATATGCTGTGCTGTAATCTGTCACCAGAGTGTGTTTGATATGCTGTGCTGTAATCTGTCACCAGAGTGTGTTTCATATGATGTGCTGTAATCTGTGCTGTAATCTGTCACCAGAGTGTGTTTGATATGCTGTGCTATATTCTGTCACCAGAGTGTGTTTGATATGCTGTGCTGCAATCTGTATGTTTAATATGCTGTGGTGTAATCTGTCACCAGAGTGTGTTTAATATGCTGTGCTGTAATCTGTCACCAGAGTGTGTTTAATATGCTGTGCTGTAATCTGTCACCAGAGTGTGTTTCATATGATGTGCTGTAATCTGTGCTGTAATCTGTGCTGTAATCTGTGCTGTAATCTGTCACCAGAGTGTGTTTGATATGCTGTGCTGTAATCTGTGCTGTAATCTGTCACCAGAGTGTGTTTGATATGCTGTGGTGTAATCTGTCACCAGAGTGTGTTTAATATGCTGTGCTGTAATCTGTCACCAGAGTGTGTTTGATATGCTGTGCTGTAATCTGTCACCAGAGTGTGTTTGATATGCTGTGCTATAATCTGTCACCAGAGTGTGTTTGATATGCTGTGCTGTAATCTGTCACCAGAGTGTGTTTGATATGCTGTGCTGTAATTTGTCACCAGAGTGTGTTTGATATGCTGTGCTGTAATCTGTCACCAGAGTGTGTTTGATATGCTGTGCTGTAATCTGTCACCAGAGTGTGTTTGATATGCTGTGCTGTAATCTGTCACCAGAGTGTGTTTGATATGCTGTGCTGTAATCTGTCACCAGAGTGTGTTTGATATGCTGTGCTGTAATCTGTCACCAGAGTGTATTTGATATGCTGTGCTGTAATCTGTCACCAGAGTGTGTTTGATATGCTGTGCTGTAATCTGTATGTTTGATATGCTGTGCTGTAATCTGTGCTGTAATCTGTGCTGTAATCTGTGCTGTAATCTGTCACCAGAGTGTGTTTGATATGTTGGAGAGTGAGGAGATGAGGAGGGCCAGAACTCGCTCCAACCCGTATGAGACAATCAGAGGTGCATTTTTCCTAAACAGGTAGGTTTTTATTTGTTCAGTGTTAAGTGCACGCATATTCAATATATGAATGCCTTGGTTTTTTAGAAGCTTTGTTTTTTCCTTGTGGGTTCCAGGCTACCATTGTGGGAAAACCCAGAATAAAGCCAGCCATCTTTCGAATGTTGGAGTGTGTCTGCGTCAGAGGCAAGGAACCAAGGGTCTGCATAAAAAAAAAGCTAGATCGGTAATAATGGATTTGCATGCAGCATTCAGGTTTTGGAATAAGACTGAAGTCCGAAGTGGATGGTGGATGTACAAGAAGAACTTTCCACCAAAGTTTACAGCTGGTGAGCCAACAGAAGAAGAAGAAGTTTGGTTTCATGTTGGCTATAGTTTTTTTAGAAGCTCATTTGTCTTGTCTGTTGAGTTGTCTGGTCACAGTTGTGCCATTTAATGCTTTGTTGATGAAGACTTTAGTCAAAATTTTTGCTGGTTTTTGTGCACGTGTTTTCCATTCCCTCCTCGAGCTTTCTAGTCACATTTTATGGTCTTTTTTTAGCACTTTTTGTCTATATAGCTGTGTGTGTGCACATGCATTTATGTGTGCACACACAATCATGCACACACATATACACACACACATGCTTATGCACACATGCACATGCACACATGCACATGCATGCACACATGCACATACACAAACATGCACACACAAACATGCACACACACATGCACACACACATGCACACACACACATGCACACACACACACATGCACACACACACACACACACACACACACACAAACATGCACACACACACAAACATGCACACACACACAAACATGCACACACAAACATGCACACACACACAAACATACACACACACATGTACACACACACACACACACACCTTTGTTTGTATGTGTGTGGTGGGGAGACCAATCTGAGTGTATGATTAAGTTAATTTCCAAAGATTTTTTTGGGGTGTTAATCAAGTTGCAGAAAATTTGTGCAAAACCAGAACCACTAGTTGTTGTATAAGTATTCCTGAGGCGAGGACAGCTTTCCTACACAGATTACAGGCCAGTATATCAAGTAACCACACCTGTGTTGACCTAATTTTCTTCCCCAGGGCAGCAATGAAGATGGCGAACATGGACGCCATTTTGGATTTCATGTTCACCAACCCAAAACACCCTACTGGGGTAAGGCACTTGCTGTGAGTTTGTGAGTGACACGGTTGATCTTGTTTTGTTTGTAAGTGACACGGTTGACCTCATTCTGCTTAAGTGTGACACAGTTGACCTTGTTCTGTTTGTGAGTGGCACATGATTGACCTCGCTTTGTTTGTGGGTGATGCTGTTGACCTTGTTCTGTTTGTGAGTGCCATGGTTGAGCTTGTTGTGTCTGTAATTGACACGGTTCACCTCGTTCTGTTTGTGAGTGACACGGTTGACTTCGTTCTGTTTGTGAGTGACACGGTTGACCTCATTCTGATGGTGACTGACACAGTTGACCTCGTTCTTTTTTTAAGTGACACGGTTGACTTTGTTCTGTTTGTGAGTGACATGGTTGACCTCGTTCTGATGGTGACTGACACAGTTGACCTCGTTCTGATGGTGACCGACACGGTTGACCTCGTTCTGTTTGTGAGTGCCATGGTTGACCTCATTCTGTTTGCGAGTTGCACAGTTGAGCTTGTTCTGTTTTTGAGATAAACGGTTGACCTTTTCCTGTTTGTGAGTGTCATGGTATTTCTGTCTTGAGTGCTAGACAATTTTGGCTTAAGCCTCGGTGAAGGCTGTGATTTTTCATTTAAACTTCTAGTAATTTCTCCTGGTCTGTGGGTAGTAAGATTGGATTCCCATGTGTATTGTTGTGCACATAAAAAATCCCTTGGAAATTGTAAATAGTAGCATAACGGCGCTGCACGGGCAAAATTTGGAGTTGAAAATCTACCCAAAGTATTTCATGATCCTCGCCGGTGCTACTGAGTTAGTGCACAGCGCTTGAGATTCTTCGGACTCAGGTTTTAGTTAGAAGTAGAATGGAGCACTTATGGGTTACTACTCTTGTACCATGATGTTGATCCGTTCAGATATCAAACATGCACAGTTTGGAGGAGCAAATGAATCATCACAGAGTGATGCGGCGAGGAGTGACGATGTGATCTGGCCTGTACTCGATGCTCAGAGAAAAGGCAAGACGACATATAATCAGACTGCTACTGGTACCTGTGGAAGTGTAACTCAGCACTGGCTGCTGAAGATGGGGACGGAGCACTTATGGGAATACCCTGATTGCTGTGATATCAGTTCTTGAATCAGTTTAACTGTCCTGATACAGATTGCTCCCCTATTAGCTATTTCTTGGTTTCATGTTAACCTTGATTGTTTAGAAGTTCTGTTGTCTTGTCCTTTCAGTTTTACATTCACAGCTTATGTTGTCTTTAGTACTCCATTGTTAAAGATTTTAGTTGAATTGTCGGTTATATTTGTGCACATCTTTTCCATTCCCTCTGTTGAGTTTCCTAGTCACATTTTATGTGTTCTTTAGCATTTCTTGTCATTAGGTCAACTGCAGTCACCTTCTGTATATATGTCATCAGTTTAGACTGGGTCGACTTTTGAGAACAGCTGAATGAAAAATGCAAACTCTGTATTGATGGGAAATTCAAGACACAACCAAACGTTTCCTAGCTCTGCATTACCTTCCTCCACAGTTGGAAAGTATCTGTCTGATAGGCAAGGAACCAATAGACTGCACAGATATGTAAAACAGATGCACATGCAAAAGTGAGATTCTGGAACAAAATCATCAAAGTCCAGGAAACAACCAGGTTTCCCACCGGAGTTTACCACATTAGAACATAGCCTCAAATTCTGTCCTTGAAGAGTTGAGCACATCACAGCTTGTTGAGTCTGTCTAGTCTGTGGGGATCTTGTTGAGTCTGTCTAGTCTGTGGGGATCTTGTTGAGTCTGTCTAGTCTGTGGGGATCTTGTTGAGTCTGTCTAGTCTGTGGGGATCTTGTTGAGTCTGTCGTCTGTGGGGATCTTGTTGAGTCTGTCTAGTCTGTGGGGATCTTGTTGAGTCTGTCTAGTCTGTGGGGATCTTGTTGAGTCTGTCTAGTCTGTGGGGATCTTGTTGAGTCTGTCTAGTCTGTGGGGATCTTGTTGAGTGTGTCTAGTCTGTGGGGATCTTGTTGAGTCTGTCTAGTCTGTGGGGATCTTGTTGAGTCTGTCTAGTCTGTGGGGATCTTGTTGAGTCTGTCTAGTCTGTGGGGATCTTGTTGAGTCTGTCTAGTCTGTGGGGATCTTGTTGAGTCTGTGTAGTCTGTGGGGATCTTGTTGAGTCTGTCTAGTCTGTGGGGATCTTGTTGAGTCTGTCTAGTCTGTGGGGATCTTGTTGAGTCTGTCTAGTCTGTGGGGATCTTGTTGAGTCTGTCTAGTCTGTGGGGATCTTGTTGAGTCTGTCTAGTCTGTGGGGATCTTGTTGAGTCTGTCTAGTCTGTGGGGATCTTGTTGAGTCTGTCTAGTCTGTGGGGATCTTGTTGAGTCTGTCTAGTCTGTGGGGATCTAGTCTGTCTAGTCTGTGGGGATCTTGTTGAGTCTGTCTAGTCTGTGGGGATCTTGTTAAGTCTGTCTAGTCTGTGGGGATCTTGTTGAGTGTGTCTAGTCTGTGGGGATCTTGTTGAGTCTGTCTAGTCTGTGGGGATCTTGTTGAGTCTGTCTAGTCTGTGGGGATCTTGTTGAGTGTGTCTAGTCTGTGGGGATCTTGTTGAGTCTGTCTAGTCTGTGGGGATCTTGTTGAGTCTGTCTAGTCTGTGGGGATCTTGTTGAGTCTGTCTAGTCTGTGGGGATCTTGTTGAGTCTGTCTAGTCTGTGGGGATCTTGTTGAGTCTGTCTAGTCTGTGGGGATCTTGTTGAGTCTGTCTAGTCTGTGGGGATCTTGTTGAGTCTGTCTAGTCTGTGGGGATTTTGTTGAGTCTGTCTAGTCTGTGAGGATCTTGTTGAGTCTGTCTAGTCTGTGGGGATCTTGTTGAGTGTGTCTAGTCTGTGGGGATCTTGTTGAGTCTGTCTAGTCTGTGGGGATCTTGTTGAGTCTGTCTAGTCTGTGGGGATCTTGTTGAGTCTGTCTAGTCTGTGGGGATCTTGTTGAGTCTGTCTAGTCTGTGGGGATCTTGTTGAGTCTGTCTAGTCTGTGGGGATCTTGTTGAGTCTGTCTAGTCTGTGGGGATCTTGTTGAGTCTGTCTAGTCTGTGGGAATCTTGTTGAGTGTGTCCAGTCTGTGGGGATCTTGTTGAGTGTCTCTAGTCTGTGGGGATCTTGTCAAGTCTGTCTGGTCTGTGGGGATCTTTTTGAGTGTGTCTAGTCTGTGAGGATCTTGTTGAGTGTGTCTAGTCTGTGAGGGATCTTGTTGAGTGTGTCTGGTCTATGGGGATCTTGTTGATTGTGTCTAGTCTGTGGGGATCTTGTTGAGTGTGTCTAGTCTGTGGGGATCTTGATGAGTGTGTCTAGTCTGTGGGGATTTTGTTGAGTGTGTCTAGTCTGTGGGGATCTTGTTGAGTTTGTCTAGTCTGTGGGGATCTTGTTGAGTGTGTCTAGTCTGTGGGGATCTTGTTGAGTTTGTCTAGTCTATGGGGATCTTGTTGAGTGTGTCAGTCTGTGGGGATCTTGTTGAGTGTGTCTAGTCTGTGGGGATCTTGTTGAGTTTGTCTAGTCTGTGGGGATCTTGTTGAATGTGTCTAGTCTGTGGGGATCTTGTTGAGTGTGTCTAGTCTGTGGGGATCTTGTTGAGTGTGTCTAGTCTGTGGGGATCTTGTTGAGTGTGTCTGGTCTGTGGGGATCTTGTCAAGTCTGTCTAGTCTGTGGGGATCTTGTTGAGTGTGTCTAGTCTGTGGGGATCTTGTTGAGTGTGTCCAGGCTGTGGGGATCTTGTTAAGTGTGTCTGGTCTGTGGGGATCTTGTTGAGTTTGTCTGGTCTGTGGGGATCTTGTTGAGTTTGTCTAGTCTATGGGGATCTTGTTGAGTGTGTCTAGTCTGTGGGGGATCTTGTTGAGTTTGTCTGGTCTGTGGGGATCTTGTTGAGTGTGTCTGGTCTGTGGGGATCTTGTTGAGTGTGTCTAGTCTGTGGGGATCTTATATTCTGCAGGAGCCGCAGGTTGGTCCCGATGAGCTGCTCTATTTTGCTGATGTCTGTGCGGGCCCCGGTGGATTCAGTGAGTATGTTTTGTGGAGGAAGAAAGGCGAGTCCAAGGGATTTGGTCTGACTCTGAAGGGATCCAACGACTTCAAGCTTGAGGATTTCTTTGCAGGACCTCCAGAGATGTTTGAACCTCATTATGGTGAGTGGTGGGTTGTAAGTCAGTCTTTATGTATGTATTGATACTTTCTTTCTCTCTTACTTTCTGTGTTTCTTTTTCAGTTTAAATAAAAATTCAGATTTGCAGAGAATTCACTAGCCAGCTAGTTTATATCTACAGTAAAACATCATTAACTGAAATTCCAAGGCATCAAAAACCGAGTGTGAGTAAAAGAAATAAAACTGTGTGTGCTAACCGTGCTCCTTTAGCAAAACAGAGGCTACATAGCATGAGGAACCTATGGCACAGCACTTGCAAGCTAGCACAAGTACAAATTGTGAGATCGTGCATCTTTCCTGTAGAAACATGGATCTGAGTCATCAACGCTCACTCAGTCTTTGAAAGAAAAAAAATCAGAACTGTTGCACTCAAATGCTGGAGACAAATTCTAAGAATACCATGGATCAAGAGAAATAAAAACGTTGACATCCTCCATGACCTGAACATCCTCCATGACCTGAACATCCTCCATGACCTGAACATCCTCCATGACCTGAACATCCTCCATGAGCTGAACATCCTCCATGACCTGAACATCCTCCATGACCTGAACATCCTCCATGAGCTGAACATCCTCCATGACCTGAACATCCTCCATGACCTGAACATCCTCCATGACCTGAACATCAAGGATAATTGGCTTATAAACAGCATCCTGTCCTGAAAGCTGTGGCATGTCACGGTGGTCTGCGGGGAAGGATGACACCTGCGAATGTGGATACAGGACAGTCGAGATGCAGCGTGTGAGTGCTGACTTTTGCCTCTGTCATGTGGATACAGGACAGTCGAGATGCAGCGTGTGAGTGCTGACTTTTGCCTCTGTCATGTGGATACAGGACAGTCGAGATGCATCGTGTGAGTGCTGACTTTTGCCTCTGTCATGTGGATACAGGACAGTCGAGATGCATCGTGTGAGTGCTGACTTTTGCCTCTGTCATGTGGATACAGGACAGTCGAGATGCATCGTGTGAGTGCTGACTTTTGCCTCTGTCATGTGGATACAGGACAGTCGAGATGCATCGTGTGAGTGCTGACTTTTGCCTCTGTCATGTGGATACAGGACAGTCGAGATGCATCGTGTGAGTGCTGACTTTTGCCTCTGTCATGTGGATACAGGACAGTCGAGATGCATCGTGTGAGTGCTGACTTTTGCCTCTGTCATGTGGATACAGGACAGTCGAGATGCATCGTGTGAGTGCTGACTTTTGCCTCTACATCTGTCATGTGGTAAATAGTGACCTGACATTGGGCATGTCGGCAGGCTGGGGTCAGCAGATGCTTTTAAATAATTCATTTGTGAAGTCCTCAGTACCTGAACCTTATTTGGCTTCATTTATATTAGATCATTTTCTAGCTTATGTACAATCAATTTTGTTGACATCCACTCCACTAGAGCTCTTCAGCTTGAAACAGCACATGCAGACTTTGTCTTGGTTTAGGCCTAGTTGTTGCATAGATATCGACAGATCCGAGCCTTAATCCTCTAGGGAGTCCAGTGAAGAACTGATCCCAGCCTAAATCCTCTAGGAAGTCCAGTGAAGAACTGATCCCAGCCTAAATCCTCTAGGAAGTCCAGTGAAGAACTGATCCCAGCCTAAATCCTCTAGGAAGTCCAGTGAAGAACTGATCCCAGCCTAAATCCTCTAGGAAGTCCAGTGAAGAACTGATCCCAGCCTAAATCCTCTAGGAAGTCCAGTGAAGAACAGATCTCAGCCTAAATCCCCTAGGGAGTCCAGCAAAAAACAGATCCCAGACTAAATCCCCTAGGGAGTCCAGCAAAGAACAGATCTCAGCCTAAATCCCCTAGGGAGTCCAGCAAAAAACAGATCCCAGACTAAATCCCCTAGGGAGTCCAGCAAAGAACAGATCTCAGCCTAAATCCCCTAGGGAGTCCAGCAAAAAACAGATCCCAGACTAAATCCCCTAGGGAGTCCAATGAAGAACAGATCCCAGACTAAATCCCCTAGGGAATCCAGTGAAGAACAGATCCCAGACTAAATCCCCTAGGGACTCCGGTGAAGAACAGATCACAGACCTAATCTCCTAGGGTGTCCAGTGAAGAACAGATCCCAGACATAATCTCCTAGAAATTCTAGTGAAGTCATTCTCTAAAGCCTGTTTTTGTGTGAATCTGCAGGTGTTAACGGTCTCCATGGTGATGGAGACATCTTCAATCCCAAAAATCAGGAAGCATTTGCCAAGTTTGTTCTGGAAAACACAGATAACTTGGGTGTCCATTTTGTCATGGCTGATGGTGTTAGTATGATTGCTGTCTACTTACTGTTTTGTTTCACCATTTTTCATTTGTTTATTTTGATTTCTCTTGGATTAAGTTCAAAGGATATAGTACTGTTTAGCATTGCTCTACAGTAGAACAAATAGAGCAGTGCATAGCACTCTGCACTTCAATAGAAAGGATAGAGCAGTGCATAGCACTCTGCACTTCAATAGAAAGGATAGAGCAGTGCATAGCACTCTGCACTTCAATAGAAAGGATAGAGCAGTGCATAGCACTCTGCACTTCAATAGAAAGGATAGAGCAGTGCTTAGCACTCTGCACTTCAATAGAAAGGATAGAGCAGTGCTTAGCACTCTGTGCAGTAAGAATAGCTGTGAATTGGGAAGGGTAGAACATTTAGCTATATTTATAATAACAGCAAGCAACATTTTTATTCAGATTTCTTTTTCCAGAAGCATCTAAACGATCAAGAAAATATAAATTAAATGTGTGAGGTACAAGGAGGTGTCTCATGAAAACCTTTAAATAACAACCGAACAAGTCTGATAGAAGATACAATAAACATGTTGTGAGTGGAGTCGTAATTTTTTTTACAGGGGTCAGGCACCCTGAGTGGTGACCCGAGAACTGATTAAAAATTGTCAGCTGCACTCATACACTTGTTGGCTGTCAGGGATGCAACACCTTCATGGATCTTAATTCGCCAATGAATTTTATAGATTTTACCGTTCCACTGATTTAAAAAAGCTGATAACAGAAGACTGCTCCTCTTCTCGTGCATGTCAGAAGTTGGGTGGCAATTGTAAAACTGTCATTATGACGTCACTGTGTTCATCTACAGCATGATATCACATGCCTGGCATCCTCAACAACAATTTTGACGTGTTGCGAGACAATGGCATAGTTATTGTAATGTTCTGTCACGCTTAAGTTTTATTCGAAGCCCCCTCTCATCGACATAGTAGATAGAATAGAGAAATTGGCTTTATATACAGAGAAAAAACAATGTCTGTTAGAGACTTAAGTAGCTGCACATGAAACAGCAATGTAAGCAACACCAACTTTATCGATGTGGCAAACTGAAGAGGGATAAAGACTCATAATTATCATGTCAGGTACAGACTTGGAAGCTTGGGGGTGTGGCGGTTGTGTGTGTGTGTGTGTGTGTGTGTGAACAGATAGCTAATTTATTAGTTTGAGCTGACAGAAGGACGCCTGGTAGGTGAGATAAGGGGGTTGGACACAACACAGGTGTGAGAGAAAAGATAGCTTTGTTCATGACAGAAGCACATTTGAGAAAATGGAGAAACAAGAAACAAACTTAGAAACAGTTAAAGTATATATACAGTGCTAAAGTGTATGTACAGTGCTAAAGTGTATGTACAGTGCTAAAGTGTATGTACAGTGCTAAAGTATATATACAGTGCTAAAGTATATATACAGTGCTAAAGTGTATGTACAGTGCTAAAGTGTATGTACAGTGCTAAAGTGTATGTACAGTGCTAAAGTGTATGTACAGTGCTAAAGTGTATGTACAGTGCTAAAGTGTATGTACAGTGCTAAAGTGTATGTACAGTGCTAAAGTGTATGTACAGTGCTAAAGTGTAGGTACAGTGCTAAAGTGTATGTACAGTGCTAAAGTGTATGTACAGTGCTAAAGTGTATGTACAGTGCTAAAGTGTATGTACAGTGCTAAAGTGTATGTACAGTGCTAAAGTGTATGTACAGTGCTAAAGTGTCTGTACAGTGCTAAAGTGTCTGTACAGTGCTAAAGTGTCTGTACAGTGCTAAAGTGTCTGTACAGTGCTAAAGTGTCTGTACAGTGCTAATAAAGCAGTGTGTCATTCAAGTGCTGCATTTGTTTGCAGGGCTTCTCAGTGGAAGGGCAGGAGAACATCCAGGAGATCCTGTCCAAGCAGCTCTACCTGTGTCAGTTCCTGGTTGCTGTCTCCATTCTCAGACCAGGTCAGCAGTTGTGGTTACTGTCAGAGATTGGAGTTGTGGTTACTGTCAGAGATCGGAGTTGTGGTTACTGTCAGAGATTAGAGTTGTGGTTACTGTCAGAGATTAGAGTTGTGGTTACTGTCAGAGATAAGAGTTGTGGTTACTGTCAGAGATTAGAGTTGTGGTTACTGTCAGACATTAGAGTTGTGGTTACTGTCAGAGATTAGAGTTGTGGTTACTGTCAGAGATTAGAGTTGTGGTTACTGTCAGAGATTAGAGTTGTGGTTACTGTCAGAGGGTTGGAGTCTACATGAGCAGGTATGTCGTCTGAGGTGGTAAGGGAGGGTTGGTGTCTACATGAGCAGGTATGTTGTCTGAGGTGGTGAGGGAGGGTTGGTGTCTACATGAGCAGGTATGTTGTCTGAGGTGGTAAGGGAGGGTTGGAGTCTACATGAGCAGGTATGTTGTCTAAGGTGGTGAGGGAGGGTTGGTGTCTACATGAGCAGGTATGTTGTCTGAGGTGGTGAGGGAGGGTTGGTGTCAACATGAGCAGGTATGTCGTCTGAGGTGGTAAGGGAGGGTTGGAGTCTACATGAGCAGGTATGTCGTCTGAGGTGGTAAGGGAGGGTTGGAGTCTACATGAGCAGGTATGTCGTCTGAGGTGGTAAGGGAGGGTTGGAGTCTACATGAGCAGGTATGTTGTCTGAGGTGGTAAGGGGGGGTTTATGTCTACATGAGCAGGTATGTTGTCTGAGGTGGTGAGGGAGGGTTGGTGTCTACATGAGCAGTGTGTTGGCTGAGGTAATGAGGGAGGGTTGGAGTCTACATGAGCAGTGTGTTGTCTGAGGTAATGAGGGAGGGTTGGAGTCTACATGAGCAGTGTGTTGTCTGAGGTAATGAGGGAGGGTTGGTGTCTACATGAGCAGGTATGTCGTCTGAGGTGGTAAGGGAGGGTTGGTGTCTACATGAGCAGGTATGTCGTCTAAGGTGGTAAGGGAGGGTTGGTGTCTACATGAGCAGTATGTTGTCTGAGGTGGTAAGGGAGGGTTGGTGTCCACATGAGCAGTATGTTGTCTGAGGTGGTAAGGGAGGGTTGGTGTCTACATGAGCAGGTATGTTGTCTGAGGTGGTAAGGGAGGGTTGGTGTCTACATGAGCAGTAGGTTGTCTGAGGTGGTAAGGGAGGGTTGGTGTCCACATGAGCAGTATGTTGTCTGAGGTGGTAAGGGAGGGTTGGTGTCCACATGAGCAGTATGTTGTCTGAGGTGGTAAGGGAGGGTTGGTGTCTACATGAGCAGGTATGTTGTCTGAGGTGGTAAGGGAGGGTTGGTGTCTACATGAGCAGGTATGTTGTCTGAGGTGGTAAGGGAGGGTTGGTGTCTACATGAGCAGGTATGTTGTCTGAGGTGCTGAGGGAGGGTTGGTGTCTACATGAGCAGGTATGTTGTCTGAGGTGGTAAGGGAGGGTTGGTGTCTACATAAGCAGGTGTGTTGTCTGAGGTAATGATGGGGGGTTGGTGTGAGATATCTTGTTAGAAAACTTCAGTGTTGCCACTAAAGTTTACATGAGCAGGTCATTAATAAAAAAGGAAAGAAGAAGAAAACAGCCAACCGAGATGAAGGGAGAGCATTCTTGAGAAGAAAAAATAGAATTATTGGATCTGATAACAGTTCACAGAAGTTTCAGTCACCACCTGTCCTTCTTTTACAGAGAAAATGTCAAGAATTAACATCTGAAATACAAGAACGCTAGTATGTCATAAAACACAGCGTATGGTGATTTGTTTGGGTTCGAATGTTATAAATACCAGGGGCAGCCAGAGTAATGAGACTCAGTGTTATCAAAGAGGCACAAAAGATGGCTGTTATGGAAAGATACCATCGCTTTAATGATATGCACTGCTAGCAAACAAAAGTTGAAGCAAGACCTTATTCTGTTTGTGGTGTATTCCCATGCAGGAGGTCACTTTGTGTGCAAGTTGTTTGACATGTTTACACCGTTCAGCGTCGGCTTGGTCTACTTGATGAACATGATATTTGACAAGGTGGCCCTCTTCAAGCCGGTCACCAGCCGTCCGGCCAATTCTGAGAGGTCAGTAGGTCACGTGGGTTTCTTTGTTTCATTAAGATAAACCTTTGTTGCAAATGTCATTATTGTATTAGATCTACATGTATCGGTGAGCTTAGGTTGTACAGCTGTAAAGTTTAACAGTTGTACCGTTGTTACAGTTGTACCGTTGTTACAGTTGTACCGTTGTTACAGTTGTACCGTTGTTTCAGTTCCCTTGATGTGTCCTTGTTTTCATTGAGTTGTCTCCCTGGTTGATCCAGCCAAATCAGGTAGCTGGAAATTTGCAGAGAAGTAAAGGTAGCAGGCTTGATATTAACTACAACATCGAGTGTCGATTGATCTACAGGGTGGGGCTTGGGAACCGGGTGGTTCTGGAATGGCTAGTACTCAGCCATTAGAAAAGGGAGGGCTGTGAGGCTGGTTACATTCCATTCCTTGGCTCGTAGCATTTTACTTTCAGGGGCCATCGTGGAGCCGTGGAAGCTAGGCCAGTGATTAAATGTTGCATAGCCTTTAGGTAACAGTTTGGTGTGTGGTGAGAAAGTTTCTTGTCATCAGTCCCTTTTTTTCTAATGAAATGGGGTTACTGTTAGTGTGACATTTGAGCTTACATTCAAAAAGAGCTATTTATCCCCAAAATTAGTTGTTTTAGCAAGATGTGGCAACAGCACACACTGCCAGAGTGTCAGTGGCTTTTCTTCACACCCTGTTTCCCCAAGCATCTGATTTTGAGATTTGGTGATGTTTAATGGCTTTCTCAGTCCACTATCTTACCAGCATATGATTTATTTCTTTGTGGATATGTCATCACATGCCTATGAGGGCAAGCCTCTTAGGTCAGAGTAATTGACGGAATTGATCCATCAACAAATCCCTCAGATCAATGGGGCCTGCCTTCATTGATGCATCAACAAAACAGACATCACGTGCCAGATGCTGTTCACCTTTTAATATTAAATGCCCTGTTCCTACAAATGCTAGTCTATCGACAAACTTGTTTTTTTTTTTAGCTAACCTAACGATTTGATGATTATTTCAAACACACTTTGTTTTCCCATGTCCCTCCCTATATAAATACCCAGTGGTTCTCCACCCCCCCCCCCCCCTTTCCGTGACTGAATTGACAGGCGTAGATTTGTCTTGACCTAGTTTAATCTTTTATTTTGATCCTGTTATAATTCAGCCTGTCTCTAGAAAATGATAAACTGCAGTTTATTATGAACTGATCTGTGACATTTTATGAACATCCCTGTCAGTTTAACCTTTGACATGAGCCTGTATGTGTGTGTGTGTCTGTGTGCAGGTACATTGTCTGCAAGTACATGAAGAATAACAAAGAGGCAGTGCAGAAGTACATGCAGTCCATCAACGTAGATCTGTGTCGCTACATGTCCACTGTGTCCCAGCAGGACCTGCTTCACATCGTGCCTCTGAAGATGATGCTTGATGATGAGCCATTCTTCACCTACATGGTCAACTCCAACGAACAGTAAGTGGCCAACATCTCACACATGCTCAACAGTAAGTGGCCAACATCTAACACATGCTCAACAGTAAGTGGCCAACATCTCACACATGCTCAACAGTAAGTGGCCATCATCTCACACATGCTCAACAGTAAGTGGCCAACATCTAACACATGCTCAACAGTAAGTGGACAACATCTCACACATGCTCAACAGTAAATGGCCAACATCTAACACATGCTCAACAGTAAGTGGCCAACATCTAACACATGCTCAACAGTAAGTGGACAACATCTCACACATGCTCAACAGTAAATGGCCAACATCTAACACATGCTCAACAGTAAGTGGCCAACATCTCACACATGCTCAACAGTAAGTGGCCAACATCTCACACATGCTCAACAGTTAACTCTTATTTTTCTTCGGGGTGGGGGGGGGGGGGGGGGGGGGGGGGATGGAGGCAGTCTTTGGGGTTCGTTTATGTGTTGACTCTTGGGGAGTTTGTGGGCCAGTATTTGGGGTTCATTTATGTATTGACTGTTGTGGAGTTTGTGGGCCAGTATTTGGGGCTCATTTAAATGTTGACTGTTGGGGAGTTTGTGGGCCAGTATTTGGGGCTCATTTATGTGTTGACTGTTGGGGAGTTTGTGGGCCAGTATTTGGGGCTCATTCATGTGTTGACTGTTGGGGGGTTTGTTGGCCAATATTTGGGGCTTATTTATGTGTTGACTGTTGGGGACTTTGTGGGCCAATATTTGGGGCTCATTTATGTGTTGACTGTTGGGGAGTTTGTGGGCCAATATTTGGGGCTCATTTATGTGTTGACTGTTGGGGACTTTGTGGGCCAATATTTGGGGCTCATTTATGTGTTGACTGTTGGGGAGTTTGTGGGCCAGTTGTTGGGGCTCATGTATGTGTTGACTGTTGGGGAGTTTGTGGGCCAGTTGTTGGGGCTCATGTATGTGTTGACTGTTGGGGAGTTTGAGGGCCAATATTTGGGGCTCATTTATGTGTTGACTGTTGGGGAGTTTGTAGGCCAGTATTTGGGGCTCATTTATGTGTTGACTGTTGGGGAGTTTGTGGGCCAGTGTTTGGGGCTCATTTATGTGTTGATTCTTGGGAAGTTGGTGTGCCAGTATTTAGAGTTCATTCATGCTTTAATTCTTTAAGTGTTTGAGGGCCAGCCTCTGTTAAACTTTCTAGTCATAGGTGTATTGTCTTTGGCTACTTTCTGGCTAAATTCCCAGGCCATCCAGTGTTATCAGCCTGCTAACTTTACTCAGCATGTTATCATTTTCAGCAGATTTTTTTGTCTTTACTTGACAGATATCTTTACTCAACAGATGAATGTTTTAAATGTTGTATTACTTGACAGATATCTTTACCCAACAGATCAATGTTTTGAATGTTGTCTTACTTGACAGATATCTTTACCCAAAAGATCAATGTTTTAAATTTGTCTTTTCTCAACAGATATCTTTACCCAAAAGATCAATGTTTTAAACTTGTCTTTACTCAACAGATATCTTTACACAACAGATCAACGTTTTAAATGTTGTCTTTACTCGACAGATATCTTTACACAACAGATCAGTGTTTAAAATGTTATCTTTTCTCAACAGGCTGGCAAAAATCCAGGCAATCAACTTGAAGAAAATTGAAATATTTACAAAGAACAGGTTTGAGAGATGTTCGTCATTTGTTGTAGCAGAATAATTTAATTTTGATTGGTTGATAAGGACGGCATAAAAGAGATAGCATGTTAATGAGAACTGGATAGAAATGTCCAAGGCCCTAGAACGAGTGGTAGACTGCAATACAGCCGAATGTTTCCACCGAAGTCTATATCACCGGAGTAAGTCAGAGCTTGTGATTCCACTACTTAGGTCAGAATGTTCGGTTCTATTTGTGCATGTCTTTTTGATTCCCACCGCTGAACTTTCTACTTACATTTTATGTTGATCTGTCTGTACCTTTCATGATTTATCTGTAGATTGAATGTTCTTTTTTACATATGATACATAGTATTGAATTCCCTTGTTTACGTATGCCATCCACTTATACAGCATCATTGTCTCTATTGGCCAGCACCTTGCATGAATCTCGACAGTCAGAAGTCAGACGGAAATGCCTGGAAAAGTGGAAGGTAATTTGTTTTCCTGTCAGTTGACTGCTTGTCATATTTAAATTAAGTGATCTAACCTCTCTCTCTCTAGTTGTTAAACAATTGTGGAAATTAGCGGGCATCTGTTTTTTAATGAGATAGTGTTGATCCCCTACGTGCACTGGTTAGATTTACTGGGACCAGTTTTCAGCAAGCGCACTAACCATTCTAACACCATGTTGAATTAAGAATCAGCATTGCAGCACTCGGGATACCTCCATAAGCGCTCCATTCCCATCTTCAGCAGCAAGCGACGAGTTAAAATTCTGATGGTACCAGTAACTGTCTGGTTGTATATCCCTCTCACCTTTTCCCTGAGTGACTCCCTTTGTTGCACCTTTCCCTGAGCGTCGGCCAGATCCCCTTTTAACTCCTTGCAGTGCCATTCTCTTCAGACCATAATGATCTATCTGTTCCTCAGCACTGTTCACTCGCTCCCAAAGGGCCCTCACAACATCCAGCTTGTCATACATCAGTTCACCACTAAGTGGTGCAGAACCAGCCAGTCTAACTATCTGCTCATTTCCCAACACACCGGCATAACCTGGAGAAAATATCCAAAGGTTGCTAACTACTCGGGACCTCTGAAGTGATGCTTGCCACTCTGCATGAAGCATGTCTGTTTTCACCTTTCTCAACATGCTTTGTGAGTCAGTGACAATCACGGCATGTCTGTACAGCTTATTCTCAAGCCAGCAGAAGGCAGCAGTGACTGCCTCCACCTCCATTTTCAAACTAGACGTTGTGATATCATATGCCAGGTTTTGCTGCACCAAGCGACGTCCATTCGACTTTGCTATGAACCCCTTTGCACTTTGTCTGCCCGTCAACACAGAGCCATCTGTATATACAATCACATCTCTTGGGCGGGAATTGTCATGAATCATTTGTTGAACTTCTGAGTCTGCAGCACCAGCTGTCCAGTCCCTGCACTTACGTCCCAAAGTGATTAGAACCCTACACAAGTCTGAAACCGGCTCAGACTCCTCTCCTCGCCTAAATTTATCAAGCCTGCACACATGTCCAATTGTGTTTTCAGCTTGCGCCATCCAAGACTTTCCTCTTTTCAGTCTGTGACCCTTAGCTCTATCCAGGGCTTCATGCAAGAGGGGCCTCTTGCCCGCAGCAACTCTGAGATATGACTTTGCTTGCAGAATTTTGTGCCTGTCTGACATAGTAGGAGGTGCAAGTATATATCGCATACATACTGCCCGGGTCTCTCTTGTACATCCCAGAATTACCCGCATTACAGCATTCTTTGTTCCATGTCCATTGCTGCCATAATTTTGAGAGCATTGAGTCCTTTTTGACATCTCACTGCAACTGCCTCCACATGATCCCTGCAGGACAGGCTTCTATCGAAAATGAAACCCAGGTGTCTCAGTTTGCTTTCTAATTTGATGTTACTGCTATGAACTGAAAACTGTTATGAACTGTGAGAACTGTTATGAACTGTGAGAACTGTTATGAACTGTTATGAACTGTGAGAACTGTATTAACTGGGAGAACTGTTATTAACCATGAGAACTAGTAAAGGCCAAACAAGGTTAGGGGCTGAGCTTGCATGCCAATGTGGTGCATAAGGAATGTGGTGCTGTTTATCCTAATAGCTACCCAATCACTTTGCTCATTGTAGTTGTTATCCTGATAGCTACATAATCTCTTTTCCCATTGTGTTTGTTATTCTGATAACTACCCAATCACTTTTCCCATTGTGTTTGTTATTCTGATAACTACCCAATCACTTTGCCCATTGTAGTTGTTATCCTGATAACTACCCAATCACTTTTCCCATTGTAGTTGTTATCCTGATAGCTACCCAATCATTTTGCCCATTGTAGTTGTTATCCTGATAGCTACCCAATCATTTTGCCCATTGTAGTTGTTATCCTGATAGCTACCCAATATCTTTGCCCATTGTAGTTGTTATCCTGATAAGTACCCAATCTCTTTTCCCGTTGTTTTTGTTATCCTGATAGCTACCCACTCTCTTTGCCCATTGTAGTTGTTATCCTGATAGCTACCCAATCTCTGCACACCATTGTAGTTGTTATCCTGATAAGTACCCAATCTCTGCACACCATTGTAGTTGTTATCCTGATAGCTACCCAATCTCTGCACACCATTGTAGTTGTTATCCTGATAGCTACCCAATCTTTGCACACCATTGTAGTTGTTATCCTGATAGCTACCCAATCTCTGCACACCATTGTAGTTGTTATCCTGATAGCTACCCAATCTCTGCACACCATTGTAGTTGTTATCCTGATAGCTACCCAATCTCTGCACACCATTGTAGTTGTTATCCTGATAGCTACCCAATCTCTGCACACCATTGTAGTTGTTATCCTGATAGCTACCCAATCTTTGCGCATCACTGAGACTCCAGGAAAGGCAAGACAGGAAGTTAACCGGTTGACAGCGGGCACCATCAATATGGAGACTCTTTGCTGGCTGTTGAGGAGGGAGACGGAGCTGATATGGGCTTGTCCTGAATGTTGTCATGTCAAATTTTTACCTAGTTCACAGTATGTGATATTTTTGTGTTGTTTCATATAAATGTCTTATCATATGATTGGCATATAATCTCACATGTGTATGTTGTATCATGTGATGTTTGAAAGTTATATTTGTGACAAGTATGTTGTATCATCTCACATATGTATGTTGTATTATATGATTGGTATATCATCTCACATGTGTTTGTTGTATCATGTAGCATTTGAATATTGTATCTGTGACAAGTATGTTGTATCGTCTCACATGGATGTGTGTATTATATGATTGGTGTATCATCTCACATGTGTATGTTGTATCTGTGACAAGTATGTTGTATCATCTCACATGCTTATATTGTATCATATCACATATGTCTGTTGTATCATTTCACATGTGTATGTTGCATTATGTGATGTGTATGTTGATCATGTGAGCATGTTTGATCTCTCTTCCAGATACCAGATGAAGTTCGAACAGCACCAGGAAGACCTGACCCTTCAGCCCTTTTTCGGAAACTGATCCCAGTAAGTTACAGTGTTTGAGATGTGTCACGGTTGAATGGATGTTGAGGTTCCACAGACAGGGTCCTAGAACAGCAGGGGATGTTACTGCTGCACTGGACAGCAGGGAATGTTACTGCCACACTGGACATCAGGAAATGTTACTGCCACACTGGACAGCAGGGAATGTTACTGCCACACTAGAGAGCAGGGAATGTTACTGCCACACTGGACATCAGGAAATGTTACTGCCACACTAGAGAGCAGGGAATGTTACTGCCACATTGGAGATCAGGAAATGTTACTGCCACACTGGACAGCAGGGAATGTTACTGCCACATTAGAGAGCAGGGAATGTTACTGCCACACTGGACATCAGGAAATGTTAATGCCACACTGGACATCAGGAAAGGTTACTGCCACACTGGACAGCAGGGAATGTTACTACTGCACTGGATGTTGGACAGCAGGGGATATTACTGCTGCACTGGACACTGGACAGCAGGGAATGTTACTGCCACACTGGAGAGCAGGAAATGTTACTGCCACACTGGATATCAGGGAATGTTACGGCTGCACTGGACAGCAGGGGATGTTACTGCTGCACTGGACACTGGACAGCAGGGAATGTTATTGCTGCACTGGACAGCAGGGAATGTTACTGCTGCACTGGACACTGGACAGCAGGGAATGTTACTGCTGCACTTGACACTGGACAGCAGGGAATGTTACTGCTGCACTGGACACTGGACAGCAAGGAATGTTACTGCCACACTGGACAGCAGGGAATGTTACTGCTGCACTGGACACTGGACAGCAGGGAATGTTACTGCTGCACTGGACACTGGACAGCAGGAAATGTTACTGCTGCACTGGACACTGGACAGCAGGGAATTCTACTACTGCAGTGGACAGCAGGGAATCTTTCTACCACACTGGACAGTAGGGAATGTTACTGCCACACTGGACAGCAGGGAATGTTACTGCTGCACTGGACACTAGACAGCAGGGAATGTTACTGCTGCACTGGACAGCAGGGAATCTTTCTACCACACTGCACAGCAGGGATTTTTACTGCTGCTCTGGACAGCAGGGAATGTTACTGCCACACTGGACAGCAGGGAATGTTACTGCTGCACTGGACACTAGACAGCAGGGAATGTTACTGCTGCACTGGCCAGCAGGGAATGTTACTACCATACTGGACAGCAGGGAATGTTACTGCTGCACTGGACACTGGACAGCAGGAAATCTTTCTACCATACTGGACACTGGACAGCAGGGAGTGTTTCTACCATACTGGACACTGGACAGCAGGGAATGACAAGGTCATCTGGGCAGTGAAGGTAGCCTGCTTGGTATTGCTGAGGTCATTGCTTGCTTGCTTTTCTCTGGTAGACTAGACAGACCCAGTGAACATATAGAGAATGTGTGCCAGCTATCTCCCTTGCTCTTCTCTGCTGGACTAGACAAAGCCAGTAAACATATAGAGAATGTGTCCCAGCTATCTCCTTTGCTCTTCTCTGCTAGACAGACAAATCCAGTTAACAGGTAGAGAATGTGTGCCAGCTATCTCCCTTGCTCTTCTCTGTTGAACTAGACAAAGCCAGTAAACATATAGAGAATGTGTGCCAGCTATCTCCCTTGCTCTTCTCTGCTGGACTAGACAAAGCCAGTAAACATATAGAGAATGTGTCCCAGCTATCTCCCTTGCTCTTCTCTGCTGGACTAGACCAACCCAGCGAACAGGTAGAGAATTTGTCCTAACTATCTCCTTTGCTCTTCTCTGCTGGACTAGACAAAGCCAGTATACATATAGAGAATGTGTGCCGACTATCTCCTTTGCTCTTCTCTGCTGGACTAGACAAATACAGTGAACAGGTAGAGAATGTTTCCCAACTATCTCCCTGCTGTTCTCTCACTAGGAAGGCTACCAGGAGGTGTTCCAGCAGAAGGGAGAAGCCCTGACACTCAGCACACTGCACAAGATCAAGTGTTTGACCAGCTACAGTTGCCTGGTTCGAGGAGAAGGTCCAAAATTTTATCTTCTGGGCTGCGGGGTGAGAGCTTTTTCTCTCTCTTATTCTAGTTTGATAGAGGTGACAAATGGAACAAAGAGAACTTTATATAAGAGAGTTTTTTACTAATGAAATTAGTTTACTTTGTTTATTATTAGTAGATAAGCTTGCATAGGACATAGGAAACCTTATCCAGCCTCGTTAATTCTAAAGACATCGGTGACTGAAACACTGGGGATAGACAAGGCAAATGGTTTGAAGACTGTTTGTGAATAACTTTTAGCGGAAAATATAGTAACCAATGAGAACAACCTTTTACCTATTTCATAAAAATTCACTTTGAGCTTAAGTATGGTTCCTGCTGGAGTGGGACAGGGAGAGGGTGATTCAGATGTAAGTATGGTTCCTGCAGGAGTGGGACAGGGAGAGGGTGATTCAGATGTAAGTATGGTTCCTGTCAGAGTGGGACAGGGAGAGGGTGATTCAGATGTAAGTATGGTTCCTGTCAGAGTGGGACAGGGAGAGGATGATTCAGATGTAAGTATGGTTCCTGTCAGAGTGGGACAGGGAGAGGATGATTCAGATGTAAGTATGGTTTCTGCTGGAGTGGGACAGGGAGAGGGTGATTCAGATGTAACCATGGTTCCTGCTGGAGTGGGACAGGGAGAGGATGATTCAGATGTAAGTATGGTTCCTGTCAGAGTGGGATTGGGAGAGGGTGATTCAGATGTAAGTATGGTTCCTGTCAGAGTGGGATTGGGAGAGGGTGATTCAGATGTAAGTATGGTTCCTGTCAGAGTGGGACAGGGAGAGGGTGATTCAGATGTAAGTATGGTTCCTGCTGGAGTGGGACAGGGAGAGGATGATTCAGATGTAAGTATGGTTCCTGCCAGAGTGGGATTGGGAGAGGATGATTCAGATGTAAGTATGGTTCCTGCTGGAGTGGGACAGGGAGAGGATGATTCAGATGTAAGTATTGTTCCTGCTGGAGTGGGACAGGGAGAGGATGATTCAGATGTAAGTATGGTTCCTGCTGGAGTGGGACAGGGAGAGGATGATTCAGATGTAAGTATGGTTCCTGTCAGAGTGGGATTGGGAGAGGGTGATTCAGATGTAAGTATGGTTCCTGTCAGAGTGGGATTGGGAGAGGGTGATTCAGATGTAAGTATGGTTCCTGTCAGAGTGGGATTGGGAGAGGGTGATTCAGATGTAAGTATGGTTCCTGTCAGAGTGGGACAGGGAGAGGGTGATTCAGATGTAAGTATGGTTCCTGCTGGAGTGGGACAGGGAGAGGATGATTCAGATGTAAGTATGGTTCCTGCCAGAGTGGGATTGGGAGAGGATGATTCAGATGTAAGTATGGTTCCTGCTGGAGTGGGACAGGGAGAGGATGATTCAGATGTAAGTATTGTTCCTGCTGGAGTGGGACAGGGAGAGGATGATTCAGATGTAAGTATGGTTCCTGCTGGAGTGGGACAGGGAGAGGGTGATTCAGATGTAAGTATGGTTCCTGCAGGAGTCGGAAATGAGAGTATGGTTCAGGTTCAAGTGTGGATACTGCAGGAGTGGGAAATGAGAGTATGGTTCAGTTTTAAATGTGGTTACTGCAGTAGGATTGATCAGTGTCCCCACCTTGTGGCCTCTGCTGTGGGTGGCTGTCAGTGCAATGTTCAGTGTCCCCACCTTGTGGCGTCTGCTGTGGGTGGTGGAGCATTCCCTGTGTTTGCTTAGAATGTTATAATTACAGATAAAGGTATTCACTTTGTCCCAAATGCCATTGAGGTGTGAAGTGGTAAAACTTCATATATTCGAGATGAGTGTCATACTGAGATAGATGAGTGACTTGTTCCTTTCCTCACCATCCTGGGTTCCCAGGCAATCCCAGAGAACTGTATAGTAAATATTATTACGAGAATTAAATTCATGAGTACTGATATAGTGGCAAAGAAACAATTGGAGAAGAGAGGGCACATTAGACAACAGTAAAATTGTAGAGATCACAAACAGACTTTGATCGTGTACAGACAAATGACACGTAGCATTGCAGAACTGAAGTGAAGTTGTTATGTAGATAAGTCAGGAAACCACAGTAATAGAGTAATCAGTTACATATTTACAGTTGTTGTCTTTCAGAGAATCAGTTACATATTTACGTTTTTTTTTTGTCTTTTAGAGAACCAATGTGTTTAAATGGGACGGTGGGTCAAATGTCAAATGGCAAAGGTTGGATGGAAACAAGATTGAGCTACCTAACAGGACTTTGTTAGAAGTGCAAGCCGTGTTTGAGCTCCGAGGCGAGGTAACCATCTGCTCATCTTTGTCAGTTAAATGTCAATTTTGTGTCAGTTGTGTGTCATTTATGTGTCAGTTGTGTGTCATTTATATGTCAGTTGTGTGTCATTTATGTGTCAGCCATGTGTCATTTATGTGTCAGCCATGTGTCGGTTACATGACATTTGTTTGCACAGCTGTTTCTGTGACTCCTCCTGACACCAACTGGGTGTGATGCTGAAGCTGACCAGTCAGGAGTTACAGTTTAGAAAGGTCATAGGTGATTCTAACTCATTTTTTAGATCGTACAGGTATTTTTTCTTGTTTTTAGGGCAAAGGTCAACACAGACAGACAGCCATCCACGTGATTGATGCCTACTTTTTGTGTGGGGAGGATGTCAGGTCATTGTCATTTGAGAAAAGGTCAGTATTTTGGTAGGTAAAAATTTAGCACACTTAATTCCCAAGTTCAGCAAAAACTCAGATTGTTCACAAGACCAGCCTACTAACCAAAATTGTTCCCTGGATTAGACAACATAGTTCATGAGTTCACTGGACCAGCCAACCATCCAAGATTGTTCCCTGGATTAGACAACATAGTTCGCGAGTTCACTGGACCAGCCAACCAACCAAGATTGTTCCCTGGATTAGACAACATAGTTCGCGAGTTCACTGGACCAGCCAACCAACCAAGATTGTTCCCTGGATTAGACAACATAGTTCGCGAGTTCACTGGACCAGCCAACCAACCAATATTGTTCCCTGGATTAGACAACATAGTTTGTAAGATCACTGGACCAGCCAACCAACCAAGATTGTTCCCTGGATTAGACAACATAGTTTGTAAGATTACTGGACCAGCCAACCAACCAAGATTGTTCCCTGGATTAGACAACATAGTTTGTAAGATCACTGGACCAGCCAACCAACCAAGATTGTTCCCTGGATTAGACAGCATAGTTTGTAAGATTACTGGACCAGCCAACCAACCAAGATTGTTCCCTGGATTAGACAACATAGTTTGTAAGATCACTGGACCAGCCAACCAACCAAGATTGTTCCCTGGATTAGACAACATAGTTTGTAAGATCACTGGACCAGCCAACCAATCAAGATTGTTCCCTGGATTAGACAACATAGTTCATGAGTTTTATCTGAACAATATTAGTCCTTTATCGTAAGCCAGTTCAGAGAATGTATGCACAATTGTGATTGGTCAGAATACTGTCAGGAGTGATGCACAAATTGAAAATTTATGTCCTTTTTTTTTGGTATTCTGTCTTTCTTTTTCTGTTATGCTCTTCTTCCTCTTATTATGGGTTGGAGAGAATGATGCACCTGGGTGTGACCAGAGGGTTCGGCTGGCACACTGCGCTCAGAGGAAAGGGCAAGACGGACATACAGCTAGACTACGACTGGCACCATTAGTATTGGAACTCTGCGCTGGCTGCTGAAGATGGGGACGGAGTTCATATGGGAATGCCCTAAGTGCTGTGATGTCAATTTTTGACTCAGCTAAACTCAACTCAAACATTACACGTGATATCCACAGCTCACAGTGTTGCACCAAGCACTCAACCTTTAAACTTACGGTCCAGAAATTGGGAATTTGCATCCAGCAGAACCTGGCTAGAAACAAATAACTTTCTGTGCTGAGTTGGATCAGTGTTTTGCTGTGGTTGTTGATGAGTGTTTGGTTGTTGATTAGTTCTGTGAATGTTTGGTTGTTGATTAGTTCTGTGAATGTTTGGTTGTTGATTAGTTCTGTGAATGTTTGGTTGTTGATTAGTTCTGTGAATGTTTGGTTGTTGATTAGTTCTGTGAATGTTTGGTTGTTGATTAGTTCTGTGAATGTTTGGTTGTTGATTAGTTATGTGAATGTTTGGATGTTGATTAGTTCTGTGAATGTTTGGTTGTTGATTAGTTCTGTGAGTGTTTGGTTGTTGATTAGTTCTGTAAATGTTTGGTTGTTGATTAGTTCTGTAAATGTTTGGTTGTTGATTAGTTCTGTAAATGTTTGGTTGCTGATTAGTTCTGTGAGTGTTTGGTTGTTGATTAGTTCTGTGAATGTTTGGTTGTTGATTAGTTCTGTGAATGTTTGGTTGTTGATTAGTTCTGTGAGTGTTTGGTTGTTGATTAGTTCTGTGAATGTTTGGTTGTTGATTAGTTCTGTGAGTGTTTGGTTGTTGATTAGTTCTGTGAATTTTTGGTTGTTGATTAGTTCTGTGAATGTTTGGTTGTTGATTAGTTCTGTGAGTGTTTGGTTGTTGATTAGTTCTGTGAGTGTTTGGTTGTTGATTAGTTCTGTGAGTGTTTGGTTGTTGATTAGTTCTGTGAGTGTTTGGTTGTTGATTAGTTCTGTGTTCCGAAGGACTTTTTTCTAGGGCAGCTAGCAAACAGTAACTAAAAGATGATCCCAGTGGATACCAGAATGTCAAGATGTAGGAGACCAGGCCTGTCCCAGAACACTGTCATTGTTCAAATAGAGACTGTCCCAGAACACTGTCATTGTTCAAATAGAGACTGTCACAGAACACTGTCATTGTTAAAATAGAGACTGTCACAGAACACTGTCATTGTTCAAATAGAGACTGTCACAGAACACTGTCATTGTTCAAATAGAGACTGTCCCAGAACACTGTCATTGTTCAAATAGAGACTGTCACAGAACACTGTCATTGTTCAAATAGAGACTGTCACAGAACACTGTCATTGTTCAAATAGAGACTGTCACAGAACACTGTCATTGTTAAAATAGAGACTGTCCCAGAACACTGTCATTGTTCAAATAGAGACTGTCACAGAACACTGTCATTGTTCAAATAGAGACTGTCACAGAACACTGTCATTGTTAAAATAGAGACTGTCCCAGAACACTGTCATTGTTCAAATAGAGACTGTCCCAGAACACTGTCATTGTTCAAATAGAGACTGTCCCAGAACACTGTCATTGTTCAAATAGAGACTGTCCCAGAACACTGTCATTGTTCAAATAGAGACTGTCACAGAACACTGTCATTGTTCAAATAGAGACTGTCACAGAACACTGTCATTGTTCAAATAGAGACTGTCACAGAACACTGTCATTGTTAAAATAGAGACTGTCCCAGAACACTGTCATTGTTCAAATAGAGACTGTCACAGAACACTGTCATTGTTCAAATAGAGACTGTCACAGAACACTGTCATTGTTAAAATAGAGACTGTCCCAGAACACTGTCATTGTTCAAATAGAGACTGTCCCAGAACACTGTCATTGTTCAAATAGAGACTGTCCCAGAACACTGTCATTGTTCAAATAGAGACTGTCCCAGAACACTGTCATTGTTCAAATAGAGACTGTCACAGAACACTGTCATTGTTCAAATAGAGACTGTCACAGAACACTGTCATTGTTCAAATAGAGACTGTCACAGAACACTGTCATTGTTCAAATAGAGACTGTCCCAGAACACTGTCATTGTTCAAATAGAGACTGTCCCAGAACACTGTCAATCTTCAAATAGAGACTGTCCCAGAACACTGTCAGTTAAACCTGTAACTACAGAACTAGCAAGTTAGTGTGCTAGCCCCTCTACCACCGCAGCTCCTATATTTTACCTCAGGTCAATGTGTTTGGGATGTTGATGAATCTGCAGGCAACAGAAGCTACACAAGTTTGTCAAAGCTCTGAGGAAACCAACAAGGACAGACCTGACCCAGCTCCATTGTCCAGAGATCTTTCCCTTGGAGAAGGTTGACCAGATCTTTGACAGGTGAGTTTTCTGTAGCTGTTTCTTTGACATCTGAGTTGTCCCTGGCTGTTTCTATGACATCTGAGTTGTCTGTGGCTGTTTCTATGACATCTAGTTGTCTGTGCTGTTTCTATGACAGGTGAGTTGTCTGTGGCTGTTTCTATGACAGGTGAGTTGTCTGTGGCTGTTTCTATGACAGGTGGATTGTCAGAGGCTGTTTCTATGACAGGTGAGTTGTCTATGGCTGTTTCCATGACAGGTGAGTTGTCTATGGCTGTTTCTATGACAGGTGAGTTGTCTGTGGCTGTTTCTATGACATCTGAGTTGTCTGTGGCTGTTTCTTTGACATCTGAGTTGTCTGTGGCTGTTTCTATGACATCTGAGTTGTCTGTGGCTGTTTCTATGACATCTAGTTGTCTGTGGCTGTTTCTATGACATCTGAGTTGTCTGTGGCTGTTTCTTTGACATCTGAGTTGTCTGTGGCTGGGGGTTATTTAACTTCTAGAGGAAACAAATACACAACGGAGCAGATTTGAACCTGTTACTTTCATGCTGATATACAAGGATCTAGCCACTACATCACGGCTGCCTTGCTTGCTATACAGTAACTTAAAACAGTGCTGACCGATTGAGGCCGTCTCAGATGTGGCACATTTCTGTTGTCAAGAACAATTTGTTTCTTCCCTGCAAGTTTTCTTGCTTACATTCTTATCCAGATAAGAGGAATTTCTGATAAAAAGAACTTTCATGGGTCCCTGGTGAGTTCTGCTTATCAGGTCTGCAATATTTCTATGAAGGCTTGCTGTGTATCATTGTCTGCCATGGCCTTGTCATTTGACAGGTGAGTTTAGAAAGATATTTGGCTGTAGGAAACTTCATATGTAAGTGCTGTTGTTTCTCCACTAGTCCTAACTAAACTCTGTGTGCTCCTTCCACAGGCTGGACATGCGCTTGGTCAAGAACTCCACAAACAAACCTCGGCTGTGTTACACCACGGACTCCAGAAACTTCTTTCACCCGACCGGCATGGTCATCATCCAGACAGTCAAAGGTATGTCTGCTAGCTTAGGGCTTCTCAACCCTCATTGTGCTGCTGGTAACTCTACTCAACCCTCATTGTGCTGCTGGTAACTCTACTCAACCCTCATTGTGCTGCTGGTAACTCTACTCAACCCTCATTGTGCCGCTGGTAACTCTACTCAACCCTCATTGTGCTGCTGGTAACTCTACTCAACCCTTATTGGGCTGCTGGTAACTCAACTCAACCCTCATTGTGCTGCTGGTAACTCTACTCAACCCTCATTGTGCCGCTGGTAACTCTACTCAACCCTCATTGTGCTGCTGGTAACTCTACTCAACCCTCATTGTGCTGCTGGTAACTCTACTCAACCCTCATTGTGCCACTGGTAACTCTACTCAACCCTCATTGTGCTGCTGGTAATAGCCCAGATAGAATACCTCAGATGATGATGGAATACCTCAGATGATGATAGAATGCCTCAGATGATGATGGAATACCTCAGATGGTGATAGAATGCCTCAGATGATGATGTAATACCTCAGATGATGGAATGCCTCAGATGATGATGGAATGCCTCAGATGATGATGTAATACCTCAGATGATGATGGAATACCTCAGATGATGAAGGAATACCTCAGATGATGATAGAATGCCTCAGATGATGATGGAATGCCTCAGATGATGATGGAATGCCTCAGATGATGATGGAATACCTCAGATGATGATGTAATACCTCGGATGATGATGTAATACCTCAGATGATGATGGAATGCCTCAGATGATGATGTAATACCTCAGATGATGATAGAATGCCTCAGATGATGATGTAATACCTCAGATGATGATGTAATGCCTCAGATGATGATGTAATACCTCAGATGATGATAGAATACCTCAGATGATGATGTAATACCTCAGATGATGATGGAATACCTCAGATGATGATGTAATACCTCAGATGATGATGAAATGCCTCAGATGATGATGTAATACCTCAGATGATGATGGAATACCTCAGATGATGATGTAATACCTCAGATGATGGTAGAATGCCTCAGATGATGATGGAATGCCTCAGATGATGATGTAATACCTCAGATGATGATGGAATACCTCAGATGATGATAGAATGCCTCAGATGATGATAGAATGCCTCAGATGATGATAGAATGCCTCAGATGATGATGGAATTCCTCAGATGATGATGGAATACCTCAGATGATGATGTAATACCTCAGATGATGATGTAATACCTCAGATGATGATGTAATACCTCAGATGATGATAGAATGCCTCAGATGATGATAGAATACCTCAGATGATGATAGAATACCTCAGATGATGATGGAATGCCTCAGATGATGATGTAATACCTCAGATGATGATGTAATACCTCAGGACTGTGGAGAAAACATGACCAAGTTCGGTGTTGTCAAGCTAGCTCACAGGTCAGGTCTAAGGATGCCACAAGTATTTCATTTAGTACCAGCGCATTGTAGTTCCATTTTTTTCTTCCATTTCTTCCTCTTCTTCTTCTTCTTCTTCTTCTTCTTTTTCTTCTTCTTCTTTTTCTTCTTCTTCTATTTCTCCACCTCTTCCTGTTCTTCTTCTTTCTTCTTTTCTTTTTAAAATGTTTTTTAGCTTCTTCTTCTGCATCCTTATTTTTCTTTCCTTTTTCACTTCTTATTTTGTCTTCTCACCCTAATCCCCCCCCCCCTCCCCCTCCTCGTCCAACTTTACTTTTTATTCCTAATTTGTCCCCCTCGTACTTCTCCTCCTTCTGCAGATGACTTATCTGCAGCCTACTGTGATGATCATGACCAAGGTTGTTTTTCTGTGTGCTTTTGTTGAGCGTCTCGGGGCTGCTCATCAACTCACATGTCAGAATTATCTCTGTGAGAGTCAGTGACGTCAGAGAGTGGCAGATCTGTTCATTAATGTGAGTATTGTTTGCTGTTCTCTCTAGAGCCCTGGATCCGAGGTCACAGTAAATCTACGGGATTGGATTATTGGTATAACATTCACACCCGCCGATCGCTGTATGAGTGCCCAGCAGAATCCATCGCCACAGTTAGGTAATTATGAACATCATTTTGCCACATTGGCCTTTATTTAAATGGGAAACATTAAAAAACGATAGGTGGTCTTGTAGCCTGGTTGCACTGGAGCTGTCACCATGGTGACTGTTGTGCTGCTTACTAAGGGAAAGGGAAACATTAATGGCTGACGTCTGCAGTAAAGTGATTTTAATTCTGAAATCATTCATTCAGCTTGATGTTTCAATTTGTTTCATAGTTTTGTGGGTGTTTTTTTTGGGCTGCTCTCATGGTAATTTTGCTTTGAGATGAATGTTTCTAACAGCCTGGACAGCCAGATTCAGCATCATCAGTTGAATCGAGCAGAAGACCCAAGTCTGTAGAGACACATCACACCCACATCTGTAGAGACACATCATACCCACATCTGTGGAGACACATCACACCCACGTGTGTGGAGACACATCACACCCACGTCTGTGGAGACATATCACACCACATCTGTGGAGACACATTACACCCACGTCTGTGGAGACATATCACACCACATCTGTGGAGACACATTACACCCACGTCTGTGGAGACACATCAACAGTGACACCCTCTGGAATTGAATATGTTGAGGATATTTTTGTTATTTATGTGTGAGCCGTGAAGGAAACCTTCTGTTAGTTTCTGGCCATGTTTCAGTTGTACCATGGGGTATGTCAAAGAGAGCTAGACTGATGCAGTAATATAGAATGTAATTTAAAAAAAAAAAGTGAGATCCTGTCTGAAAAGATTCAACAAATTTCATAGAGATGGAAAATAGTATGTCATGTTTGGTGCAGTGTGTAAAAAATATTCTCAGCATTTTACAAAGTAAAGAAGAAGAAACAACATTCAGGCACAGCTAGATGTTATGCTGTACTGAGAAGCATGGATCACCATCTAACATGATCATCACAGTCTCTGATCAGGTCTTTGTTCTTGTCCTAATTAAACTGTGAAACCTGACCTCCTGATATTCAGCTCTGTGTCTCTCCTTTTCTCTGTGTCTCTCCCTTTCTCTGTGTCTCTCTCTTTCTCTGTGTCTCTCCCTTTCTCTGTGTCTCTCCCTTTCTCTGTGTCTCTCCCTTGCCTTGTCTCTCTCCCTTTCTCTGTCTCTCTCCCTTTCTCTGTGTCTCTCCCTTTCTCTGTGTCTCTCCCTTTCTCTGTGTCTCTCCCTTGCCTTGTCTCTCTCCCTTTCTCTGTCTCTCTCCCTTTCTCTGTGTCTCTCCCTTTCTCTGTGTCTCTCCCTTTCTCTGTGTCTCTCCCTTTCTCTGTGTCTCTCCCTTTCTCTGTGTCTCTCCCTTTCTCTGTGTCTCTGCCTTGCCTTGTGTCTCTCCCTTGCCTTGTCTCTCCCTTTCCTTGTGTCTCTCCCTTTCTCTGTGTCTCTCCCTTGCCTTGTGTCTCTCCCTTTCTCTGTGTCTCTCCCTTGCCTTGTGTCTCTCCCTTTCTCTGTGTCTCTCCTTGTTCTGTGTCTCTCCCTTTCTCTGTGTCTCTCCTTGTTCTGTGTCTCTCCCTTTCTCTGTGTCTCTCCCTTGCCTTGTGTCTCTCCCTTTCTCTGTGTCTCTCCCTTGCCTTGTGTCTCTCCCTTTCTCTGTGTCTCTCCTTGTTCTGTGTCTCTCCCTTTCTCTGTGTCTCTCCTTGTTCTGTGTCTCTCCCTTTCTCTGTGTCTCTCCCTTGCCTTGTGTCTCTCCCTTTCTCTGTGTCTCTCCCTTGTTCTGTGACTCTCCCTTTCTCTGTGTCTCTCCCTTGTTCTGTGACTCTCCCTTTCTCTGTGACTCTCCCTTTCTCTGTGTCTCTCCCTTGTTCTGTCTCTCCCTTTCTCTGTGTCTCTCCTTGTTCTGTGACTCTCCCTTTCTCTGTGTCTCTCCTTGTTCTGTGTCTCTCCCTTTCTCTGTGTCTCTCCTTGTTCTGTGTCTCTCCCTTTCTCTGTGTCTCTCCTTGTTCTGTGTCTCTCCCTTTCTCTGTGTCTCTCCTTGTTCTGTGACTCTCCCTTTCTCTGTGTCTCTCCTTGCTCTGTGTCTCTCCCTTTCTCTGTGTCTCTCCTTGTTCTGTGTCTCTCCCTTTCTCTGTGTCTCTCCTTGTTCTGTGTCTCTCCCTTTCTCCGTGTCTCTCCTTGTTCTGTGTCTCTCCTTGTTCTGTGTCTCTCCCTTTCTCTGTGTCTCTCCTTGTTCTGTGTCTCTCCCTTTCTCTGTGTCTCTCCCTTGTTCTGTGACTCTCCCTTGTTCTGTGTCTCTCCCTTGTTCTGTGTCTCTCCCTTGTTCTGTGACTCTCCCTTGTTCTGTGACTCTCCCTTGTTCTGTGACTCTCCCTTGCTCTGTGTCTCTCCTTGTTCTGTGTCTCTCATTGTTCTGTGTCTCTCCTTGTTCTGTGTCTCTCCCTTTCTCTGTGTCTCTCCTTGTTCTGTGTCTCTCCCTTTCTCTGTGTCTCTCCCTTGTTCCGTGACTCTCCCTTGTTCTGTGTCTCTCCCTTGTTCTGTGACTCTCCCTTGTTCTGTGTCTCTCCCTTTCTCTGTGACTCTCCCTTGTTCTGTGTCTCTCCCTTGTTCTGTGACTCTCCCTTGTTCTGTGTCTCTCCCTTGTTCTGTGTCTCTCCCTTGTTCTGTGACTCTCCCTTGTTCTGTGACTCTCCCTTGTTCTGTGTCTCTCCCTTGTTCTGTGTCTCTCCCTTGTTCTGTGACTCTCCCTTGTTCTGTGTCTCTCCCTTGTTCTGTGACTCTCCCGTGTTCTGTGACTCTCCCTTGTTCTGTGACTCTCCCTTGTTTTGTGTCTCTCCCTTGTTTTGTGACTCTCCCTTGTTCTGTGACTCTCCCTTGTTCTGTGACTCTCCCTTGTTCTGTGTCTCTCCCTTGTTCTGTGTCTCCCTTGTTCTGTGTCTCTCCCTTGTTCTGTGACTCTCCCTTGTTCTGTGTCTCTCCCTTGTTCTGTGACTCTCCCTTGTTCTGTGACTCTCCCTAGTTCTGTGACTCTCCCTTGCTCTGTTTCTCTATGCCTGTGTATAAATGTCTGCATATTCTTCTGCGTGTCTGTGTCTGTATTTGTTTGCCTGAGCATCAGCGTGTGCGTGTTTGTCTGCGATTGGGTGTGTGTTTGTGTGTCTCCGAGTGTGTGTGTGTGTCTGTATTTGTTTGCCTGAGCATCAGCGTGTGCGTGTTTGTCTGCGATTGGGTGTGTGTTTGTGTGTCTCCGAGTGTGTGTGTGTGTCTGTATTTGTTTGCCTGAGCATCAGCGTGTGCGTGTCTGTCTGCGATTGGGTGTGTGTTTGTGTGTCTCCGAGTGTGTGTGTGTGTCTGTATTTGTTTGCCTGAGCATCAGCGTGTGCGTGTTTGTCTGCGATTGGGTGTGTGTGTTTGTGTGTCTCCGAGTGTGTGTGTGTGTCTGTATTTGTTTGCCCGAGCATCAGCGTGTGCATGTTTGTCTGCGATTGGGTGTGTGTTTGTGTGTCTCCGAGTGTGTGTGTGTGTCTGTATTTGTTTGCCTGAGCATCAGCGTGTGCGTGTTTGTCTGCGATTGGGTGTGTGTTTGTGTGTCTCCGAGTGTGTGTGTGTGTCTGTATTTGTTTGCCTGAGCATCAGCGTGTGCGTGTTTGTCTGCGATTGGGTGTGTGTTTGTGTGTCTCCGAGTGTGTGTGTGTGTGTGTCTGTATTTGTTTGCCTGAGCATCAGCGTGTGCGTGTTTGTCTGCGATTGGGTGTGTGTTTGTGTGTCTCCGAGTGTGTGTGTGTGTCTGTATTTGTTTGCCTGAGCATCAGCGTGTGCGTGTTTGTCTGCGATTGGGTGTGTGTTTGTGTGTCTCCGAGTGTGTGTGTGTGTCTGTATTTGTTTGCCTGAGCATCAGCGTGTGCGTGTTTGTCTGCGATTGGGTGTGTGTTTGTGTGTCTCCAAGTGTGTGTGTGTGTCTGTATTTGTTTGCCTGAGCATCAGCGTGTGCGTGTTTGTCTGCGATTGGGTGTGTGTTTGTGTGTCTCCGAGTGTGTGTGTGTGTCTGTATTTGTTTGCCTGAGCATCAGCGTGTGCGTGTTTGTCTGCGATTGGGTGTGTGTTTGTGTGTCTCCTAGTGTGTGTGTGTGTCTGTATTTGTTTGCCTGAGCATCAGCGTGTGCGTGTTTGTCTGCGATTGGGTGTGTGTTTGTGTGTCTCCGAGTGTGTGTGTGTGTCTGTATTTGTTTGCCTGAGCATCAGCGTGTGCGTGTTTGTCTGCGATTGGGTGTGTGTTTGTGTGTCTCCGAGTGTGTGTGTGTGTCTGTATTTGTTTGCCTGAGCATCAGCGTGTGCGTGTCTGTCTGCGATTGGGTGTGTGTTTGTGTGTCTCCGAGTGTGTGTGTGTGTCTGTATTTGTTTGCCTGAGCATCAGCGTGTGCGTGTTTGTCTGCGATTGGGTGTGTGTTTGTGTGTCTCCGAGTGTGTCTGTGTGTTTGTGTCTGTGTGTGTTTGTACATATGTGTCTGCATGTGTAAGTCTGCCTGTGTGTGTATGCGGGTTTGTCGCATATGTGTATCTGTGGGTGATTGGGTCTGTGCGCATATGTCTATTTGTGTGTGTGCATCTGCATATATTTCTATGGGTGTGTGCATGTGTATATCTGTACGTATCTATGTGTGTGGAATGTGCGTGTCTGTGTGGGTACGTAGGTATGTGGGTAAATGGGGGTGTGTTTATGTGTGTGTGAAGGTATGTAGATGCGTTTAAGTGAGTGGGTGTATGTGCACTAGTGTGTGTATGTGCACTAGTGTGTGCATACATTTTACCACCTATGCTCTTTTGTTTGTTTTTTCTTCTTTTTGATATTCATAATATCAGATGGATATAACATGCTTATTGATAAAATACAGCTGCAATGTGAAAGATGGGTGTTTGGAAGGGAGGAATGTAAGACGGGCCTGTGTGCCCAATTTGTGACCCTTTGAAAATAAAGTTCATTTGTTTGTTCGTTCTCTCCCTTGCTCTGTGTCTCTCCCTTGCTCTGTGTCTCTCCCTTGCTCTGTGTCTCTCCCTTGCTCTGTGTCTCTCCCTT